AAAACACACGCACATGGCATCCTGCAGAAGTCTACATTTTAAGGTAAGGTGAATACAGTACACGATGATATTGAGCTGATGGGGGATACAAACCAGCTTTGCATACAGAAGGAGATGAAAACGCCAGAAACGTGCTCGGACAACTTTGCAGACTAAATAACCTTGTCCAAAAAGATAATCTGCACACTCACTAGTGTGAATCCACTGACTCTAACTCCCCTGCAAGCACATCACCTCTGAATGTAGCCAATCATCAGGTGATCACACTTTCTTTTAATTTGAATTGGCAGCTGAAACCACTGCTTGGCTGTGGGTGCTACCTTGACACACCCAGAGTAGGAGATGGCTGCATCAAGAGCTTCTGATGACTCTCTCCATGTGAGATTTCAAATGAATGTATCATCAAATGTCCGTCAAAAATAGTCTGGGAGCAGCAATCACTTGATGCTTTCTACTTTGACATTGTTAATCACATTGCGCACAAATACGTGTACTTAACATCAGTGTTCATTCTGCAGCCTTAAAAAGGTAGAGTCCGTAGCATTTTCCATTACAACAACTTTTATATTCTCACGTAGCTTGCAGTGCAGGTACGAGCAGTAAACGTACACGCTGAGCAGTTCAGTGGGCGTGCACTTCTGATGGCGATACGCCAAGGGGGAGGGGCCTTATTTGAATGATGTGTTTACAAGCTGCAACGAACACTGCTACTGACTCCTCCTTTAAGGGGGGAGACGGTGTAGAGGTAGCATTTTTTAATCATCAGGCTACAGCATGAAGGCATTTTAAAAGAACCAACTTCTCCTAAAAGGTATTTTATTTACCTGCGTCAATTTGGGAACGATTGAGTTTATTCAAACATGACCCCAGATTATCTGCCCTGTTAAATATTTTAGAAATATTGATTGGTTTCCTATTGTTCCAAGCAGGCACATACAGCTCATCTTAGGGCCGTGTAAATGGACTTGGGTTTGCATGGCGTTTTTCTAGTCTTCTGACTTCTAAAAGCGCTTTTACACCGCAAGTCACACCTCCACATTCACACACTGAGGCTGCTGTGTAAAGTGACCATCAGAAGTAACTAATCCCATCCAAACACATGTATACACCGCCGACAAGGCAGTGGGAGCAATTTGGGGTTAAGTGTCTTGCCCAAGGACACATCTTTTTTTTTTTTTAAAGATTTATTTTGAGGCTTTTTTGTGCCTTTATTGTAGAGATAGGACAGTGGATAGAGCTGGAAATCAGGGAGAGAGAGAGTAGGGACAACATGCAGGAAAGGAGCCACAGGCTGGATTCGAACCCGGGCCGCCCGCCTTTGAGGACTATAGCCTCCATACATCGGGCGCGCACACTAACCACTGCGCCACCAGCGCCCCGCCCAAGGACACATCTGACATGTTGGTGCAGGAGTTGGGGATCGAACCCCCAACCTTCCATTGGCTGAAAATCTGGCTTACTACATGTGTATGAACCCAGTATTGAGATATTTTGTTGTGATTCAATTGCAATCATTCGTCTGAAAGAATTCTGAATTATGATGCAGCGTAAAAAAAGGTCAGAACTCAAGCTTTCTGTAGAGCTATCTGCTTTGTAAGCAAACAACTTCAATAAAAAAATGCTTTTAATGCTTTTAATGGCTCAAAACATTTTTCATGCAACACAAGGACGTCGATAGCTTCCCTTTTTTGTTCCTCGGGGCCATTGGAGCCCATTGTGTGGTGAATTTACTTGGCAGGAGGCTACTCTGCAATGTAAAAGATAAAAATCTGCAGTTTCATCCCTCAAAAGATAATTCCACCAAACAGCTCAGCAGGAAGAGGTATTATTACTGACGCTGTGTGTGACAAAAGAGCAAAACCTGCTGACACTAACCAAACAAATCGTCTTTTAAGTACACTCTCAGTGCCAACATTTGCAAACATACTGTAGTGGTTAAGTTGCGACCTCACAAAGCTCGTAGCCTGAATCATCCCAAAACTATATTTTCAAATTCAAAAGTTCCACAGCATGCACTTATCCACGGAGTATTATAAAGGACCAACAGTTTTCTCCTTGAGTAACCTCGGTTTTTGTAATGTTTGAATACTACATGGACACAATACCTGGGTTGCCATGGAAACAAACTTGTTCATCAAGAAAAGAGAATACTTCTGGATGCATACCGTACTTCATTTTGTGCACCCAAACTAAACTGCACTGATAGTTCTGCATGATGCAACACACTGAAGGATATTCTGTTGGTCTGCAGCATTACGACTTCTCACACACACTTGACTTGTAGTTGCAGGACAATGACCTAACGTTTGTTATCTAAACACAAAAGAAACCTGCAGCAGAGCAAACACTCTGACGTTTGAGTGTGGCTGTTGAAGACTGTGAAGCTCGTTCTTTTAAACAGTCGCATGCTATAAGAGTCTTCCGCCCAAAGCTCCATTTATGGCAAATGAATCTATCGCCCGCTCTCTGTCTTTCTCTCTCGCAGACTAAATAGTTTCCACATTAGTTGCCAAGTGATCAGCAGCGAGGACTGTGCTGAGCAAACCGCCTCGGCTGGGATAACTAACAACACAAGCAGTGTCAATATGTGTGTTAGGAGATGTGTGTTATTGTTTTTAACCAGCCCAATCACACCAAACAAATGTAGAAAAATCAACACTTAAGGCTGATGTTTTACACCTTAAGTCTTTTCAGCAGTACTCGCAGCAGCATGGATTAACTGATGCCATAGACTGTATGAAAACTATGAAGCCTTGTAGCTTTAAAAGCGAGACCAACGGAAGATTACCATAAAACCACATTTTGTAAATAGCCAGCAGGGGGCGACTACACACGTTGCAAAAAGAACAATGTTGTTGTTTGGAAATGAGCCTCCTAAGTCGATTCATCTCAGTAGACATCTTTTCAAATGACTTCATGGTCTGAATTCAATGTTTACGTCTTCTGTAACACATAATGATTAGGGGTGTTTGAAATAAATCATTTCTGCCATGCATCACAATGTGGACGTTTGGCGATTCTGCATCGACGCAGTGACAGGACAGAATCGATTATTGCATACTGACGTTGATTCTAGATTTATTTCCGCCATAGCTGGACTGAAGATATTTATCTTGTTGACATTGATTTCTACAGCCTATTTTAAATAATAGAAAGGGTAGTTCATATTTATATAACTGCTTGACTTCATTGATAAAAAAAAAAAAGAAGTGGCCAAGTGCATTTAGATAGGAAACTGAGGATTCAACCCATCGTGGTGCATCGTCATGTCGAATCCAACTGTTGACAGGAGATTCGTAATCGTTATGAATCCAAATGCAGACAAGTGATGATGCAACGCCCTTATAAGGATGTTTTTTTTTTTTTTTTTAAGATTATGAATACATTCAGATGAAAATAGACGATGAAGAAAGAAACGGCTAACTTGTAGCCCTTTAAAATGTCTTGTTTAGCATTTTGTTGTACTAAAACACTGTGAGGCGTTCAAGGTCGATTCAAAAAGTTGGAATATTTAGTCTAGAGCCTGTTTGACAAAAGCAAGAATTATTCCCTTTCTTAATATCACAGTTAGTTTGCAAAACGGATGAGCTTTTTAAACAAAGCTAGCACTAGCGTTAGCTGATATCTAGCATTCACGAGCCCGTCCGTCCAACAGCTCTGTCCTCTCGTGGTCACTTTGGAAAACCAGGAATGCAAAACCTCACATTCTGACTTCAAAACACTAGACCAGAAACCAACGTTAACATCATATTGGCGACATCCATTTCTTCATGGAAGAGGCATTGTGGAAATGCTCAGACATTTTGATGGCGAAATACTTTTACAACGTAGACCCATAACAAGTCTTGTCTTCTACCAAAACAGATTCACTTTCAGACCTTGGAAGTACCTGCTGACATCACCAGGTCAGACCCAATGAAAACCTCTCTGACTGTGTGTCCTAAAAACATCTTTCAAAACTTCTTCCTGCCCTCTCATCAACATTTCTCTCAGACATGAGCAAAAACAAAGAAATGCAGCAAACATTGTAATTTGCGACACATAAAAAGCTAGCGTCCCGGCACAACATAGCATCAAAGCGGCGCTGAAACTGCAGAGACACCAGAAGAGAGAAATCCACTACTATAAGCCTTCATCCTCCTCTCTGTGCCACATTATGTAGGGCATCGAGGGCAGGCTTGGCTCTGTTCAGGCAGATATCTTTGACTTTTTCAGGCCCACATAGCAAAAGCAGCACAGCCTGACATGAAATCGGAGCTCTGGTAAACAATGTGTTCTTACTCTCATGGCAGAGAATGAAACCTTTGGTCGGGCAGGGAGAGAACTGCTGATGTAATCAAACTTCAGGGTCAGATCAAATTGTGCCCTGGGTTGAACTCCAAAATAACACACAATCAATCACAGAAGAAGAATGGGGGCCAGCGAACTGGTGAGGGGGGGACAATGATGCTGTGTGCTGCTGCCTGCCTGGGAATAGTTTCTATACAGAAAATATGGAAATGTGTTCTTAAACAAACTAGAAAAAAGGACATTATATGGCCGTACAATAGTCTGGAAGTGCAGTAGAAAAACAGTAAAGAAACACAGAGGTCTGCAACAAGCTAACTTTGACATTCATTGCCAGTTACTCTTCTTGACTCGAGGATGTGTCAGGAAGGCTCACAAAGCTCAGTCATGTTAGGACATTTTAAAAATAAACCAGATCAATATGACCTTTCCAATCAGAGAGAAGCATTATGGGGGATATTCTAATTGTTATATACATATATTTTTACCATGGGACATTTTTATGAAATCTGGGGTCTAAATGACTTCCAGGTACATATTGTAATGGTCTTGCTCAAGTAGATATCTTCAGCCTGCAGCCTCTGTAGCGAGCTGTACTGGTTACAATGTGGGGAAATGCAGGTGGTCACAGTAAGACCATTAGCGGGTTCAGCTGTGTGTAAACATGCCCACACCTTGAGACTGTCCTGACCCAGAACCCCCGTTGAGTTTACCTTGAAGTTGCTGGAGTTGACCCAGGTGCTGGCGATGCCGTCCACCATCTTGTCCAGCGCTGTCTGATCTTGCTCCAGGTCGTGGGACTTCTCTTTGTCCAAGAAGTAATCGATGATCTCCTGCCCCACCTGCAGCCGTCGACCCATGTCCTTCTGCAGGACCAGAGCCAGGCAGTTCTCCATGCTGGGCTCCATCATCCTGGCCTCTGATAACCCACCCCTCTGGCTTCCTCAGCCTGTCTGTATGAATGAATGAATGACTGACTGACTGACTGGATACCAGCAATCCTCCACCGTTCAATGCAGCAGGAATGACAGCTCAACAAAAGGAGCCCCAGTTAGCGAGTGTGTGGCAGAGTGACCCGGAAAAAGTGAGATAAAAGAAAGAGGCAATTGCACACAGCCTTGTGCTTGTATTTTTATCCCCAAGGACAGGCCTTGTGTTTGTGCAAAGTGCTAGCTCGCTAGCAAGCTAGTGGCAGTGCCCTAGAGATGGATGGAGCAGGGCTTGGGGAATGGCAGCAATGCAGCATGTGTGTGTCTGGACAGCAGCTGGGGAAAGTTTACCGCTCCCTCCCACTTGGGTTTTTTTTTCCCCCCCTCTTCTTTTCTTGAAGGAGTCTGAGCCAAACCGCTACAGCAGGGTAGTGGAGATGGTTTTGGCGAGCAGCGGGCAAGGCAGGAAATAGAGATGGATGGAGAGAGCTGACTTAGAGCTCCATGTTTTGTCCCGGGATCTCGCCTGGAGAGCCCTGAAGGACCACAAATGAGAGCAGAGGATAAAACAGAGTCAGTTAACCATCCAATCTGTCAATAATATAAGATTCAGCATTATTGAGTCAGCTGAAGAAGGCCCATTCAATAAATCTAAATTTCCATTTAAGCTTAAAGTCAAAAGACGGCGTGGTATCTTCTAATTAGTGTTTGCTTCTTGGTGGACTTTTTAACCTTGATTTTTAACATGATATTGCTAAATGTGAATTGAAGTGTCCACAAGGGAAAGATTTTACAAAAAAAGGACCCCCCCCCCACACACCCACACCCACCAAAATAAAAAAAAAACTATGAAAAGAGTCTTTGGTTGAACTTTTTCTAAAATCGTACCTATGCGATCAAAGAAGTCACGTTTCCTTTCTTTTGACTATTTCTGAAAGAACATTGGTTAAGCAGGAGGTGTCTCTAGATGTGTTAGTGTGCTAAATAACTGAACTATACCTAAAGCAATGAAAAGCAGCAAATCCTCCAATTTGCTAATCTGAACTATTTTCTTTTCTTCAATTTTTGCTCAAAAGCGTCTAAAATCATACGTTGAAAAGAGATTTGATTCTGTCCGTGTATTCAAAAAACTGAAAGCCTGACTGTGTGAGATCCAGACAACAGTCTGCAACTTTGTGGGAAATGGTTTCTGTTTGTCTTGTTTTTCAATCTTTTTTTTTTTCAATGATAATTGTCCCTTGCACAAAGCAGGAAGTGGTTTTTCCCAGTTTGGCTGAGAAAAACTTGACTGGCCTGCTTACAACCTCAACCAACAGCTTTGGTATGAACTGACGGCCAATAGGATACCTTTAAGGTAACTACAAAAAAAACAAAAAAACAGCACCAAGTAGCATCTACAAATGTCCCCGCGTTAGACCCTTCAGTAGATACGGAGTATTTTATATGGCTTTGCTCACTGAAAAGTGCTGCGAGTATTCTTAGTTTTGATTAGCTAAACACTTCAGCAGCTTCAACCCACAGAGTCGGAGATGTGCTCGACTCTGGGGCAGTGTGTTCACGGAGTGAAAGAGTGTACATGTAGGTTTTGTTTTTGAAGAAAAGCATGGTGCCATTTAACGAATAAAACACACACAGTATATATACACATGCTGTTCTTCATGTTTTACACAATACCTGAGTGTGCAACATGTTTCTCATGGATACAAGATCAATCCAAAAAAAAGCGTCTTCTTTTTTTCACCGCTAATCTGACAGGAGCCCCTATTAGTGTAACCTTTATCTGAGTGCATCATCCATGGTGTGAAAGCATGACAAGGCCTCTGTCCAAAAGCTAAAATGTCCACATGTTAAGGCAGAAAGCAATGCTGTTTCACACATAATCCTTTTTCTTATCAACTGTAATAAAGTCTGACTTTGGTCGTTGGTAATGCTTGGTATCTGGTTATTCATTTTTAGGGCCCGACCCATTTGGGATTTTTGGTGGCCGATACCAATATTAGAGAAAAATACAATTCTGAAACTGATATATGAGCCGATATCTGTCTTGGAGCTGTCGCTTTTAGAGAGTGATTGATATAGATTTAAACTCACCTTTATCCCTCAAAGCCTGTCATCAAACATTTTGTTTACAGTTGAACAAAAGCCTTTACCGGCCAGAATAACACAGTGCACTGAAACACAGTTCTTTACAATAATAAACCGAGTTCTATCATATATCGGCACATATTGAAGATAAAATCAGACAAAATCAATAGACAAGTGTTGTGCTTATACCAGCCGATGTTATCTGCCAACCGATTAATCAATCGGGCTCTATTCATTTTTCTCTGCAGCCTGGCTCTTACAGAAAGTTGGACCATATATGAGCTTCAAATCAGTGCTTACGGTTTTGGAATGATACATGAGACAGTAACAAATGGATATGATGTTTTTTCAGGTCTTTTAATACTTTTGGGAGAGCGCTGCTTAAACAACAAATGTATTTTCACAAATGATTCTAACCCATTAACATACAGGACAAAACAACTGAACGACCGAATGAATTCCACCGACCCAAACATGAACACACCCGCATCCCTGACAGCGTCAAGCGCTCAGCCTGACAAACCGGCAGCGCCATTGGAGACACAGGGGCTGAGGGGTTAAAGCTTCAGCAGAGACTCCAAAACAAATGTGGACATCAGTGTGGGGACTGTTTGTTCCAGTTCCACACTGTTCAGTCAGATGCTGAGGGTGCTTCTTCCCTTTAAATTACCCCCAAGGCTCCTGTGTGATAACAAGATTATCTCGCAGAAAGGAATGCTCAAACAACATCTCTATCAGATGGGGAGCCTTTGAGCTGAGAAGTGAAAATCAAACCTGGGCGATATGAGTCAGACTCGCTAGACTATGATCCCTTGGTGCAATAATGTGTGAAGACTTTGTATGTTAAATGTTCAATATGCTGAATTGTACTGCAATGTTTACATTAAAATATCTAAATAAATAAGAAAATGGACTAAACCTTTGTTGTTAGCCACGACAGTGAAGGATGATGATCCTCCACCTGAGCGTCCATGGCCATTTTCTTCAGCCTCATGTTTGAAATGTGAATGTTTTCTCCCCGTGTAAAGCCCGGCTGACATTTTTCCATCAGCTCACCAGGTATTTCATGTTGTTCCTGTTATTGTTCCTTTTATTTCTGAGCTGCAAATCTGCAGCATGAGAGTTTAAATAAATCTAAATAAACATAATGCAGCAGAATGGACGCCCATGTATTCTCGACTGCACACACACACAAAAAAAAAAAAGAGTTAGAAATTGGTTGGTAGAAAGTACTTTTAAATGAATAATTTTTGAAGACATTACTCCATTAACTCACTTAATTGAGCAGGAGTGTCTCTGAACAATGACAATGACATGCTAATTAGATGACATCATATTGTGTGCTCAATTAAAACTGGTCTTTTTGTCACCTTTCTTAAACCTCTCTTCATGTGTCACTGATTTACTGGACGACTGGTATGACACACGCATAAACACACACATAAACACATAAACACACACACAGACAGACAGACACACACCCCTCTCCTTTTTTTTTTTATCTTCTGCTGCTAGCTGAGCTGCAGCTAGCTCACAAGCCTGATCCATCACAGCTAGAAATACCTAAACGAAAGGAGCCTGTTCACAGCTTCTAAAACACCTCCGACCTGAAACATAAGCCTCCCCATGACACATGAATTCTCTTTGTGTGTTTTCCATTCCTCCCAATGTACCAGACACAGTAGGTGTGTGAGGGATAAAAGCTAAAGCTAGCCCCTAGCGAAGCCCTTCCTTTCAATGAAACGTCAGATCACAGGCAGCAGCAGCAGCAGCAGCAGCAGCAGACAGACAGACAGGCTGGCAGCACAAAGAAGAAAATGTGACAATGAACCTTCAAACCTTCATGTTTCTACTCACCATATCCTGCTTAGACTCCGCACCGGGTCAGTGGGCACAGCGATTAGCTCTTGCTGTACACAATTTAAAGTATACGGCCTTAAAAATCTCCCCAGTCTTTCTCTTTCTCTCACACTCTCCACCCGGAATGCTGCCTGCAGGACAAGAATGGGATCGTCGTGCGCATGCGCAGTGGATCCAGGGATGATGTTGGCACTTGGAAAACTGTCGCATGGCAATGCCGGTGTGTGTCATAGGTGTGTTTACTCAGTGTTTAGCGACATCTACTGGGCATACGGGGTCTGTGTTTTAATAAAAACAAAAGTTATGGCATTAGAGAGCAACAGTCGTGTTTAAACAATGGCTGAAATCAAAACAACAGTGCTCACATGAAAAGCTCATGAGTGTTTTTCCTTTGCTCAACAGTTCACGTGTTTAGACTCTGAATATATTTTATCAATAATATTGCACATTTTATTATTTTAGTAATTTTCTCTTGAGTGTTTCTATCTGTCTTAATGCTTTTCTTCCGCTTCTCATCTTCTGGTTTTCTTACAAAAGCAATCCTTTGGACAGGTATTAACTAAAACACTTAAACAATGCATCTGGTTCGTCTGCTGTAACTGTGATGTCCATGTCAAATAAAGTCTATAATAAAAAAGAAAAAAAGGATTCATGTGTTGATGAAGGTGAGGAATTGAGGAGTTCAGAGTCTGGCCCGCACAGGAAATGATCGGTACTCGCAGTAAGACAATTTGAGAGGAGGGAGATGTTTATTTCATTAAAGATTTTAAAGAAAAGTGAAAATTGAAAGAATAAATTCAAAGTCAAAATATTGAGAATAAAGGCAACATGCGGATAATAAAGTAAAATGTAAGGTAATAGCCTCTCGTTGCAATTTTGCATACAGTAACTAAATGAGGTCTTTTTCATCAGCCAAACCAGCCTTCATCTCACAATAGAAATGTAAAGATGTTGCTTATTATGTTGACAATGGGTGCTTTATTCAAAATGGTTTTACAGGAAACTACAGTGAGCTAGATTGCAAAGGAACACGGGGCCTTTGAACGGCTTGAAAAACGGGGAATTCAGGCAATTTTTATTTTTAGATTAATTTTTGGGCTATTGTGCCTTTACTGGAGAGATAGCACAGAGGATAGTCTGAAGTCAGGGAGAGAGAGAGAGGGGAATGACATGATGGAAACGAGCCACAGGTCAGATTCGAACATGGGACGCCCACTAACCACTGCACCCAAACTTCAGCCTACTTTCTGTATTTCTCTTTAGTTTCCAACCGACATGTTTGTGAACTTTATTTTGTTAAAATAGTGGGGGGGAATTAAATGAGAAAAGTGGAAACAAAAAAACATGGCTGTCACTTACAGCCTCCAGTAGTAAGGATACTTTTTTTTTTCCCCCCAATCATCAGCACAGACTAAAAGATTTTTTCTTTATATCCCTTCGTCTTATTTACTGAGTTAACTCTTCATAGCCACCTTCTTGTCATTGTGTTTAATCTCATATTCCTACCTCTTAGTTCTCAGTTGTCTTATGTAGCATCACGGTCCCAGAGGAACACAAGTTCATCTCACTGCGTCCCCAGTGTATGTTTGAAATGAGAAGAGAACTTGACTTATTACATTAGAAATGTGCACACACAAGATGGTAAAAGGGACTTGGGCTTTTATGACTACTTAAAAGTTCTTTTACACAGCAGGTCTCACCCTCACACCGTGACGGTAGAGGCTGCTGTGGAAAGAGTCCATTAGGAGATACTAATCCCACTGATACACTGCCGCAGAAATTCAGGGTTAAGTGTCTTGCCCACGGACACATCGGACCTGTGACTGCGGCAGCTGGGGATCAAACCCTCGACCTCCCGATTGATAGACGACCAACTTCGCCCACGGTGATGTATGTAATAAATCTTCAAGAAAATACCCCAAAAAGTTCTGACATCATTTATTTTTTTAAAGATATTTTACATTTTTCAAAATGAACCACAGTTTTAAGTAACTGTGGTTATGAAGCAAATAAAAAGTATGTTCCCCTGTGTGGTTCAGATACGAGCTTCATCCTAGGCTGAAATGCACACGTGGCATCGACTCAGACGTCTAGGCAAATCTGCCGTCCATGATCAAGCTCCTTGTGATCATTAATGCGCAGCTTCCTCGGCACACACTGATATAATACCCACAACATTGTTAGAGTCCTCTCCAAGAGCTTCTTTTTAAAATATAAAGGGTATTTCACGTACAGGGAGTTCGGACCACAGTTCAAAGTAATCATGCGACCCACATAAAAGATCACACATGATCCTGATAAGTGTGTGTGCTCTGTGACAGTCAGAGTGCCACACTACAGTCCACAAATACAAGTCTTTCACTCCTTCACTGCGTCCTCAGGAGGTTCCTCTCCCTCCGTGTCTGACGCCTCCTCTTTGTCACTGTCTGCCTCCTCCTCTTCTTCCTCCTCCTCCTCTGAGGACTCTTCGTCATTCTCTGCAGTCGGCAGCTTAATGACAATCTCATCATCTGCATCGTCGTCGTCCACCACCATGGACTTCCTCCTCTCCAGGACGGACGGGGTACAGACTGGTGTGGTGTCCTGGAGTCCAGGAAAAAAAAAAAGGAGTCAAACAGATTAATTTTTTTTTGTTCAACAATGTTCCCATGAATCTTTGCAGCTTAGAGGTAAGTATGTAGGTACATGGGTTTTATCACGCAGCCACCGAAAGACACACGCAATAAGCTTAATGCACCACGGTACTGTAGGCACAGTTATCTGACCACAGATCACTGAAACACCGGCGGTCATTTTCAGTCTGAGCCAAAGCTAATCATTATGATATTCAAGTTTCACTTACAGTACTACACGTCGACGCGTTCATCGAATCCGAGGACTTCTTCTTCGGAGGCACCTGGGCAGCCTGAAAATTTTAAAAAAAAAACAGCACCAAATGACGACAACAGAAACAAGTGTAATTTGTAGACTGTAAATATTAATGGGCAGTCTGAGTGACGCCACCCGTCTGTTCCTGCAGGGGGCGCTGGAGTCCCGTCAATAGCGGTCTCCATGCTGGAAATCCTGTCTCAACTTAACTTTCAGTCAACCTAACGACAGACTAAGAGCTGGAGCTGAGGTGGGTTTTAAGCCTCTTGACAAACAGTTACATTGCGCCCGCCTGTCAATCATGTCAGCTATCAAAAATCCCCCCCTCATGCAGTGTGTGCCAATCGAATCATGAGCTAATCAGACCTAGTTGTTTTTTTTTTTTTTAACCAAGCTGTAAACATGTAAACTCCTGCTGTTAAAACTCGCTTTTTTAACTGGCTGTGTGTGATTTCCTGCTGCGAGCAGACACTCGATGAACTGCAGGACTTTGCACTTCTTCATCGGCTTCATTTTTCAACACCGGACGTTGCCGCTTGGTATAAATGACCCCTGGGTGCTGCACTTTTTGTCAAGGTGGCCGCTTTCTGCTGCAAACGCTGTCTACTCATTTATAACAATTGAAGAAAGAAAAAAAAAAGACACTGGCTCTCAGAAAAAAAAACACCAAATGGACACGGGGCCGTAGGACAACAGCGAAATCTAGAGTAGAAATAAAAACTTTTGAAACATTAAGACTGGAATAAACACGCCAAAAGTAACCTTGAGATATACCTGATAAGAATCTGAATTCATACTTTTTCATGTTTGACTGCAAAACGATAAACAAACCACTTTTTAAATGTTTGTTTTTGTTTATGAAGTTCACATTAATCAGTTTTAATGAAACCTTAAGGATGTTAGGAGGAAGCAAACACTGATTGGCTTTAAAAAAAAAAAGTGCAGATGTGTGGTTCAATTTCGGTCCCAGGGGACAATATTGCCAACATCAATGAGGATTATTCTTCTGATTCAAGTAAATGTCTTAAAGATGAAGCATCCGTCAGAGAAAGAGAAATACAGAGCTACTGGGTCAAACAATTAAAAACTTACAAATCCAGGGAAGTCGTACTCAATGCCGTGTGCTGCTAGTCGTTTGCGGAGCTTCGATTCTTTCTTCAGCAGTTTTTCTTTCATCTTCGTGATCTCCTCTTCTGATCGTTTCTTGTTGTAGCGATCCACCGCCGGATAGGAGGGCTTTTTGAATTCCACCTGGGAGCGATCGAACAGCTTCTCGTGCACCTTCTCCGGCGGCATAACGTGACCTGTGAAACAGAAAGAGGCAACATTTAACTTACTGGAGTTCACTTACAAAGTTAAATTATTTAAATCTAAAACTACATGAAGCCTAAAGGGATGAAAAAAATATTCTGTCAACACACCTCAACTATTCACCCAGTCAGTACATTCAGAAACATCACATTGTACAACTCCGAAGTCAAAATGCTGGGATGTTGTATAAAATGTAATGAAACCAGAATGTCATGTTTTCAAAACACTGAAACGCCATGTGGGACTTGGGTTGAGAACTTGAGTGTCACCGGTTCAAGTCCTTGTTCAGACAAAAGGTATTGAAACTAGTGTGGTTCCTAGAGAGGTGCCAGGTTCCTGAGTCCTGCTGAGGTGGCACTGAACCCCAATCTGCTGTGTTTGAGAAGCACGCCTCTCAATAACAGACTGCAAACTTAATATCCCCATTTAGAGTCTATAGTACTTATGATAAAATGACAAAAAAAGAAATACTCACACTTGATCAGTCTTTCTCCCATGAGGTAATTGTTCATGGTCTCCGCAACAATTTTGGCCACTTCATCGCAGTCAAACTCTACAAACGCGTAGCCTTTGCTTCCACCTGTCTAAGACGGAAATAGATGAACATCAAACATCTGAATATCAAAGTGTATCTGACTGTATGTTGTCATTATTTTCTCGGTTTTTTTTTGTGGGCACATGGGTTTTATCGCTCTGCCAATGGTGAGCAGGTGATAAGCTTAACGTGCCGCAGTACTTTAGGCTCAGTTATCTGACCTCAGACCACTTTCAGACACCTGAGATCATTTTCAGTCCGAGCCCAAAATCAGCAAATAAATAAAAAATAAATTTAAAAAAAACAGCTCAAATGTTGATCGTGTTCATTCTTATCAAACTACAGAAGGTTTACAATCCTGAGGGGGAAAAAAACAGAATGTGTAAAATTTTAAGTGTTTTACCTTTTTACTCCTGGACAGCCGAAGCCTCTGGACTTTCCCAAACTGTTCAAAGTAAGTTTTAAGCTGAGGTTCAAACAGTCCGAGCGGGAGGTGGCCCACGTAAATCACTCCTGGAGTCAAACTGATCCCCTGTGAAAAACACATTTCAAAAAAAGGTTACAAAAGAGAATAAATCACAATATCAGCACTTCAGGTTACTGGCTAATTTTATCTTTCAATATATGCTGATATAACTAGGTTTAACATTTATTTTTTTTATACATTTCATTAATAAATGGTTAATTTCTAAGTCAAAATGTGTGTTTCATGGCATTATTGATATTCTGTCCAACTTCAGTAAAACACAATTAATGTGTTTTTATGTCTATCAATAATCTCTAATGATCTATAAATCATGAACCTATAAACAGTTGTGTCATCGTTGTATAATTGGAAAGTTTAACTAATTACTTGGTTTGTTTATATTTTATTGTTTTATTAATATTCAGTAAACTGTTTCTTCAATGGTCGCCAGGTGCTTTGGCACGTCGCCACGTGACAAAATGTGACGACACTGTTTCCTTTCACCATCGCAATATAAATTCTCATCATCAAATCATCGCTCTACTAGTCTGAATTATACATAAATACTTATATTGAAAAGGTTGCTTCGGATGGTATATAAATAAATATATTTATGATCGCTTGATCAGTTAGCAGCTGGGTTTACGTCAACGTTGGGTCACAGATTCTAAAGGGTAACGAAACAAGGTGTAACACCATTTACATTTACATTACATTTTTTTAGAAAGGTATTTTATAAATGTCGCAATAGCAGAATCCGTCAAAAAATAAATATATCAAGGCCGAGATTGAACCTTACCTTGCGTGATTTGTTCTTCTTCGCTTCTTGAACCTTCTTCTTGAACTCAGACTCTTGTTTTGGGTTCAAAGCTAGCAGCTCCTTGGCCGGCTTAGGAGCTGATTCCGCTTTAGTCTCAGTCATTTCGATTAATTAATCAGGGAAGACATAAACCGTTCAATGAAAATAACACCGTCCACCAACTCTGCACAAACCACGTTTGTGTCTTCTTCTTCCTGCGGCTGCCCATGTGGTGACAACCAACGAAGAGCGGGAGGAAGGTTTGCTGGAGTGATATTTACATGCGCCGTACACAGCGCCACCCACAGGCCAGGAAGACTCATTGCACTTTCACAAAAAAACATGAAAGTTGGTAAGTTTCTGCCACTTGAAAAATAGTCTTTACACAGGTGTGTCGCATTTTAAATTTCTTGCATTTTAAATTTCATTTCCTAATAATGATGGTTTATTGTCTCCTAATTAAACTATTTTTAAAGTATTATTCTCAGGATTTATATATATTTGCATGTTTTATTTGCACACTACAAAAATCATGTTTATATAGCCAGGTGTTTTGTAATATACAGCATGTATGCTTTAAATGTACTTCCTTCAAATTACAAATGTTTTCTTTGTTTCATCAGGTTAATACTTTTTGTTGTTGTTGTTGTTTTTAATTGATATGAATTTTAATAGTACCTCATATTTTTTTTAAATGTCTCCTTCTTAGATAGGTCTGTTTTATGTTTTCTTATCATTGCAAATGGGATTATTAACAGAAACAATAATACATAGTTACTAAAGAAATCTGATTCTGATACACACCTGAATATAGGAGATTAAATTAAAGGAGATCTATTGCTCTTACTGTATTTAAAAATAATTGTAAAAAAAAAAAAAAGATGGAAAGGGAAGGAGGAGCAGAGGAGGAGGTGGAGAGGATCAAAACAAGGGGGTGGAGTGTTTAGCAGTACAATAATGAGGAGAGACAGTGAGTAGGTGCAGATCAGACAAACACACAGAGAGTGCAAACAGTGGCTCTGAATTCATGACATGGAAACCAAAATCATCTACTTCACGGTGAACGGAAAACCGGAGCAAGCCGAGTTCCCGGTGGATTGTCCTGCACAGGATGTCAAAGGTACGAGCACAAACAAAATCTTATTTCAGTTTATTTAGAACATAACATGGAAAGTGTGCTGTGTCTGTGCAATTCATGTTTTTCCAGGATCAATTTCTTCACCTGTCTAAGAATGAGTTCATCTTAATTGACCTTTGCCACACTCCTTTAATCTTTTCCATCATTCAAAAATTCTGAAAGAGCTTAACTATACTTCCAAAATAAGATTGACACTTGTAGATCTTGAGTAGCATTAAGAATTAAAATGCATCAATCAGTCATTGCACAAGCTGCTGTATGAACTGTGTAAGTGTTGCAGAGCCTGCAGATACAGACGGAGGTACAGCTGCCACTGACAGATCCTCAACTTGGTGTCAGTATGGTCAGGAAGGCAGCAGAAAACACCTCACTGCAAATCTCTAATACCATGTAAATAAAATTATTCAGCAGCAGGTTTGTTATCAGCAGTTAGTTCCCAAGCTGATTTTTTTTTTTTTTTCCTTCCTCTGCTGTGTGCATGCTCTGTGGCTCATTCAGCAATGTTCATCCTTTATTTTTTGGTCCTTGTTGCCTTCATTGGATAGGACAGCTAAAGTGACTGGAAATTTGAGAGTAGGGGATGACATGCAGCAACGGGCCGAGGTCCGATAGGCTATCGCCGCTCCCCATCCTTTATTATCCTTGTAGAAGTTCATTCATACATTTTAGAAATTAAAAAACAATCCCCGAAATGGACAGATTTTGCTCTTCTGTATTGCGTTCATGTAGGTTTTCTTGCTCTATTTGTTTAGGGATTTTGATTTTGAACAACAAAGAAACCCCAAACTTGTTGCCTTCACTGTTTTGATTCTACAATAATGATATGATTCATCTATGAGGCTTTAAAAAAGATTTATTAGGAAATCATAGGAATTGGTCACATCTTAAGAACCATTAATTGGTGGCACATGTTTGGATGAAAATATGAAGTTGATCTGGTAGCTGGAGAGGTAGCAAGGTCACCTCCCGAGTACTGCCCAGGTTCCCTTGAGCAAGGCACCAAACCCCCAGCAGCTGTGGCGTGCTCCCCGCGTAGCAGTGTGTAGCAGCCCCGCTCCATATATCTCTCCACTAATGCATGTCCACAGGTCCTGTTTGTGCATGTGTGTGATTCTGACCTGTGTGTGTGAGAAGCATGTCTCAATAACAGAGTGTAAAACTAGAATTTCCCTCGGGGATTAATAAAGTATGTCAAATAAAACAAATAAAAAAAGGAAAAGGTGATACCTCAAAGCTGTCTCAAAACGTCGAACTCATAGAAAGCTCACCAGCTCTTTACAGAGCTTTCCACTGCACCTGAAGAGGAGCACCCGATGGGCTCAGTATTTTCTCACAGAGTCTAAAATGAACAATTAGACTTTCTTTCCAGATCTGTTCCGAGCTGCAGCCGAGGCCGGACCCCACGACATCCTGAAGCTGTACAACCCCAAAGGCAGCATCATCAACATCTCCCAGAACCTGGAGCCCAACACCTCCAGCTCATGCTACAAGCTGGAGGTGGTGGCTGCAGACTGCAACAGTGAGCCGTTAGGTATCTTCAACTTATTTTTACAAGAAACATCCCTTTGACATGGTTTATTGAAAACGCGCTCACTTCTCCCTCTTTTCTGCTCGTTTCAGGGGTGGAGCTTGCTGGTGCGCTCGGATTTGACCTCTCAGCCATGGAGAAAAGGTAAGTAAGGCTGGAAATAAGAGAACAAGGATGAGCCAACTTGGAACTTTGCACAACCTCATTGATGCTGTGTGATGTCAGGCTGCAGGGCCTGGAGAAGAAGATCCTGATCGAGGCCGGTGAGACTCCTGCAGTCGTGTATGAGATGAAGAAACAGGTGGATTCATTCAGGGAGAAACTAGAGGTACCGGGTTTTTAAGCCTTCAAAGTGTAATTTAATTTATTTGATAACACAGTGGGGTGTATGTTAATTCTTATTCTTTACAGATGAATGACCTGAGCTAACTAAAAAAAAGAAGTAGAACGCAATGAGAAAATCTCCGTCACACTAGAACACTTTATTTACACGGTTAAGTCAAGATCAAAATAAAACTGTCTGTGAGCACACTCGGCCATTACATCCATAAATGAAAGCTGAAACTACCGTGCAAAGTCTAGTTGAATAATGATGAAACTTTGAATAGGAGACAAAACAATTTCTAAAACAAAAACAGGTCAGTCTGAGTTTTGGTACACATCGTGAAAATAAATGTACATATTTGGAGCATATGGGGCGGCTGTGGCTCAGTTGGTAGAGTCGGTCATCTCTCAACCGGGAAGTCGAGGGTTCGATCCCCAGCCGATGTCCGATGTGTCCTTGGACGAGACACTTAACCCCGAATTGAGGCGGTGGCGTATGAATGTGTGTGAATGGGATTAGTTACTTCTGATGGTCACTTTAGCAGCCTCATCAGTGTGTGAATGTGTAGGTGTGACCTGCAGTGTAAAAAAAACAGCTTTGAGTAGTCAGGAGACAAGAAAAGAAATATACAAGCTCAAGTCCATTTACCATCTGAACAATTAGAGTGCAAAAAAGAGAAAAAGAGGGGAGCAAAAAGAAAAAGAAGCCAATCCAACAAACTGCTTCTGACGCAGTAGTATTTTATGGAGATAAGATGATGATCCAAGTTATCCTCTCTGGGTTTTTGTTTTTTTGTTTTTTTTCAGAGTGTGGAGCACCTGAGCTGGCTGGGACTGTTTAAAGACCTTTCAGAGGGAACGCACAAACCCTCCCCGTTCTACCACAAGAGATCTCTGCATAAAACCAGGAAAGAGTGTGAGCATGTCCGGGAAAAGTTTCTTCAAATGAGGCAAGTTCACATGCAGAACCCCCCAGAAAGAAGTCATTGATATAGTCTGATTAGATTTCTGAATATCAAGTAATGATTCCTGCTCGTTGTTGTTGCAGCTCCCTGGAGGTATCCGAGGAAGTGAGGCAGTATTTAAAGACTCCAACCTTTGACAACTGGTAAGTTTAGTAAGTATAAACCTGATGCATTGATGTCACCTGCAGCACAAGGAGTCTTTTCACCTGCGTGATCACTAACAAACAACCAGTGCACCTGTTTTTCTTGCTGACAGTCGGCTAATGACGGTCGTGCCCAACAAGCACCTCTAATGCTGTTCTGAAGAGGATGTGTGCCGTCAGCCTTTTCTTCTGATCGAGACACTCATTTCAATATGAAAGGTCTCCAGAGGGCTCACTAATCAAAAGAAGGTCTTCATAAAAGGCTTAATCAACACACCATGTTTGAAGGGGGCCTCATGGAGACTAAGTGATGCTGCTTTTCTGTGCGGCTTGGCCATCTATTCATTTGTCCGAAAAGCTTTTAAAGTGAACCCGGCACGACGAAGAATGATGGACCGAGACAGGCAGAAGGTTACACAACAATAACAGAAGCTTGGAGCTTCACTAAATCGTTGTGAAGATTCTCGTGAAACCCTGATGAAATTTGCTTCCTGCTAGAGATTTTTTATAAGACAGGGTTGGCATCCTTTTGGCATCATCGGCCGCTCTGGTGATAGACGATAAGAGATAGACTCAATAAAACACGAGCGTAGTCTCATTGATGTCACCCATTTGTTTCTGAAGAGGTGTTATGAAACGCCATATTGGAAAAGCTCTCCTTAAATTTCAGTCAGTCTATAGACAAAGAGGTGGAGCTGAGGCAGGTCTCTAGCCTTCTAGGCAACAGGGCTTTTCAAAGGGCTTGAACCTCAGAAGGGGGGGTCAGGGGTCATATCAAGGCAACTTTTGGATAATCAACCTCTATTTTGATGCTATTTTATGCACCTTATTTACACTGAAATGACAAATCTGCTGTTGCTAAATGTTGTGTGTGTTTCTAGGCAGTGGGAGGATGCAGAGATCATGGTGCTCCTGCAGGTCATGTACACAGATTTAGATTTCATAGCCACGTTCAACATCGAGCCCGAAGTGCTGCAACAGTTCCTGTTCGAAGTTTATCGACGATACAACAACATCCCTTTCCACAACTTCAAGCACTGCTTCTGTGTAACCCAGATGGTGAGTGTGTGTGTGTGTGTGTGTGTGTGTGTGTGTGTGTGTGTGTGTTTGTGCATTACCCTATTTTTATTCATTTTTTTCTGTTCTTTTCTATTTTGAATTGTTGTCTGTTGTTGTTCTTTTAGGACCCCCTTGAAAACGAGATAGTACATCTCAAGGGGCTTATATAAAAATAAAATACAAATACAAATACTGTGTGTGTGTGTGTGTGTGTGTGTGTGTGTAAAGGCAAAGTTTAATGGGGATAAATCAAGGAGGGACAAGCCGTCAAAACCTGCAATAACGCCTTGATGGCTAACAGGTGAAGGACTTTTGGCCCTCAGGGATAAGAGGTGACTCCAATCAGTGGACAGCTCTGCAAGTGAACACATCTGTGACCCCCCCCCCCCCCACACTCTTTATTGTGCCATTTATGATGACATGAAGGGTGTACGTTGTAGTCAACTCTCCTCTATTAATGCTGATTTCTTCTGGTTGAAGTTGTGCTTCAGAGGAAGAACCTTTTTCGTTGCACAGAAAAGACAGAATACACTATTTAAGACTGAGCTGTGAAAGGAGCATGCAACTTTGTAATGACTTGTTATGAATTGTTGGACCACCTCAACTGTACTTCTCGTGTCTCGTAAAAACCAACCAGTAACCCATCTGGTCCACCGGGTGTCTGCTTCTATCAAAGAAAACGAGAATGCGCTGGTCCTGCTCAGTCTGGTCTCTGTTTCCTCTCCTCTGATCAGATGTATGGTTTGATCTGGCTGACTGACCTGAGGAGCGAGATGGACAGCATCGACCTACTCATCATGTTGACCTCTGCCGTCTGCCACGACCTTGACCACACAGGATACAACAACGCCTATCAGGTAAAGACCATCTCTGTGATTTTGCAGACTGCGTTTCCTTGCCGAGCCATGACACAGACGGTGGATTTGATCCTAATTAAGCAGTGTTATTAGAAGATGCACACTTGATATCAGACTGCTGATTCATCAAACCAGCTAACAGGCCGGTCACACTCAACATAAACACTGATTTCAGCTAATTAAAGCGAACGTATCAGAACTTTAAATATCACTCTGCTGCAGTTTATAGGCTTCATTTTAAAACGCTGAATTACTGAGGTGCTTCAACATTACTTCTGTCAATCAACTGGATAAAGCACCAATGCATCTTCAGAAATCCGTTTCCATGACCTGTGTTAAAGATAAATCACTCGCTCTCAACATTTTTGTGCCGCATCTCATCAAGACAATCAGTGAAGGTCTGCAGCATGACCCCTCTCCATCTCATTCACCTGGTAAAAAAAAAAACCTGTTTCCCTTCCTGGTGCCATGACCTCCCAGTGACACGCCTGCCATATTTGAATGGTTCCGCTCAGGCTGAGTGCTTGGCAAGGTGCCCACTGCCTCCTGGTGTTCAAAAAGAAATGCAAAATAACACAAAACAAAGAACAAAATAGCTCCTTCACTCTGTGTGTGTTTTGCTGTTGGACCATCTTTCAGATAAATGCTCGGACCGAACTCGCTCTCCGCTACAACGACATCTCTCCCCTGGAGAACCACCACTGTGCTGTGGCGTTTGAGATACTGGAGAAGGTAAGGGTGGAAAACGTTTAGTCCAAGCTGCAGTTATACGTATATATTTAAAGTTTAGGGATTTGAACTGAACATGGACATGAACAGATCAAGCTCAGTAAGATGCAGACGGTCAAGTATTACACAAACATCTTCTTTTTTTTCTGTTTTATAGTCAGAGAGCAACATCTTCAGGAACGTCTCCATGGATCAATACAAGCGGATAAGAGAAGGCATCATCAAGTGAGAACTTCTTTGAAATTCTCTGAGCATGCTCATTTTCTCATTATACGTCACCAAAGCCTATTAAATAAGGATTTTTTTGTTACTGTTGTATTTGCAGATGCATTCTGGCCACTGACATGACGAGACACAACGAGATCCTCAACAAGTTCAAGTCCATCCTGCCAGTTTTTGACTTCACTAACAAGGACCACAGAGACGTGGTAGGAGCAGACATGTAACGATAATAAACTGTAAACCTAACGTTTACGACGTGTCTTTGTCCCACCTGGCTAAAAGTGACAGTTGCTGAACTTGTTGTTTCCCTTGTGGCTGTGTCCATCTGTTTTCTTTTCCTGTTACGTATGCAGCTGATGATGATCCTGATCAAAGTCAGCGACATATCCAATGAGGCGCGGCCTATGGAGGTGGCTGAGCCCTGGCTGGACTGTCTCCTGCAGGAATTCTACAACCAGGTAACTATAAATCCTACCGTTTTTGTATTTTCTATTTATGTGGGAAAATCTGATTTTAATTAAATATAATCAAAGCTCCACTGATGCACCGTGGGAGGCAAGAAGAAGTCATTGTCCATGCAAGTTCTGTTTTTCTAAATATATATTTTCCAAAAGCAAGCAAGCAAAAAAAAAGAAAAGAAAACAGTGTAGGTCCACCAGGTGCATGCTGGTCCTTTTACTTGCCTACCTAGCTCAGGTGCAATAACAAAGGAAAACAAGAATGCTAACTTTGCAAAAAATAAACTAAATATACTAAACAATTTGCAAAAGAAGATATCAAAAATCTCAATTTATAAACAAACAAACACCTAGAATCATCAAATAAAGCGAAATTACTTATTAGAGTCTTCAACTTGTGGAACAGCCGACCAGAGGGGATCAGACCTGCAGAATCAGTCCCATGTTTTATTTCTCTACTTAAGACAGGCTGACAAACTTTAAACCACAAGTGGCTCAAAATGTGCACATTTTGCAATGACAGTAGGAAACCTCCCTGAGGGGGTCCCATCTGACAGCACTCGACGCGTTGCTAAGCATCTCATGCATTATTCCTGTGAAAACCAAAGTTTGTCAATGAAAGTCTCTGAAGGGAAAATGAAGAGGAAGTATCTTACTGGAGGTGAAAAAAAAAACAAAGGAAGAGGAGTAAGCGGCAGGACACTAAAAGACATGATGGGCATGAACGCTGGTTAGAGGGGCCCCAGATACATTTTGGACGAGGGCCCCAACAGACTCCAGAATCACCACTGGTAAACTAAATACATAACCACATACTTTCAATAAATAAATAGCTGTGACGGCGTGCTCGACACAAACACTCCTTCAAAGCAAACTCGAACACAAAAACAACATCAAGGCAAAAAAAGATGTCAGCACTCACAATGCAGTTTGAAACTTCCAATAATAAAGATAAACAGCAGCTGAATGAAACTGACATGTTTGTGTTTTGTGTTTCAATATCAACTTTAGGAATAAAACGGGATGTCAAAATGACATTTCTCTTTTGTTGGACTGATTCAAAACACTTGGTGAATCTACGTCTAAACTGTATACACTATGAATAACTGTAGTAACTTTCTCCAGCTGTGTCTTCTTTCTCCCCTCAGAGTGACATGGAGAAGCTGGAGGGTCTCCCAGTCACCCCCTTCATGGATCGGGACAAAGTGACCAAACCTTCATCTCAAACAGGCTTCATCAGATTTGTGCTGCTGCCTCTCTTCATCGAGCTGGCAAACCTCTTCCCCTGCCTCGAGGTACAAGGCACTCTGGGAAATGTAGGAAAACTCACAGAATAAAAAGTGTTGCAGGGCAGAGGGAAAGTTTGCTCACGTTGGGTGCATTTTTTTATTTTTTTCTGCAGCAACACATCATCAACCCGGTGAGGAAGGCTCTGGATTACTACACAGAGATGGAGAAAGCCCTGGAGAGAGAGAAACAGAACCGCGCTCAGAGCGAGAATACAGCCAAGAGTAAGGAGACGTCTGTGGGCTCACAGAGCAGAGCCAACAGCCTGACTGATGATCGACCTGAGGCCTCCAAAGCAGACACACTGTGAACAGATATAGTTTAAATAGTAAGAACTGAGCTGGGCACCATTATACAACGATTACTATTTTAAAGTTTTGATTTATTGACGTATTTGAACCACATAAATCTGTACTTTAAGGAGTATATTTAATATGATCACTGCTGTCTCAGTTGGATTTGTGCACGCAGTAACAAATGAATAAAACAAGATAATAAAAACAAAAAAAGACAAAAGCAACAGTGTCTGAAAAAGAGTAGGAAGAAGTTAAACTTATACACCCCTACCCCTCTCTCACATTTCTTCTATTAGTTCATAAATGATTCCGACAAATGCTCACAATTATTTACAATATCAACAAACGTATCCTCAGTTTGTTTGCACCTAAAACAAATAAATAAATAACAATCCCATAGGATTACAACTAAAACAACTTTTCCTCTTGAAAAAATCGTTTTTTGAATTGATTAATATTTGTGTTTTGTTTCAGCTCCTCACCTCGTACCGACATACCCTCTCTGTCAAAAAATATTCTTTATGAATGTCGCCTGTAACTGAATTATTTCTTGCTTTAAACAAGATTATTGCAATTTTCAATTTGACCAGATCGATACATTTCAGAGCATGTGACTTTAAAAACAGTGTGTTAGTGTGTTCCCTAAACCCCACACTGTGTACTATCCTGATCGCTCTCTTTTGAAGTATGCATAATGATTGTAAGATGATGACGTGTTAATAATTGTAATGTGAGGAGAGATGAAACCTAACTTGAACTTTATGACTCATTTGATACACAAATACCATCAATAAGTGCTTTTGAAATTTAACAATCTTGTACGGCAGATACAATCATTTCTGATTTATAAATGTTTCATTTGTGGATGTGAAGTTTTGCACAAATTTGTCGATATAATGTTTCAACGTCTTGCTGGATTTATTTATTTGAATTTGTCAGTTCTGTGAGTGCTGGAGTTGTTTTGTTAAAATCAAATTATTGTTTGATTGCAATCTTAAACGCATGAATCACCTTCCATGAATCGTTTGCTGCTTTTTGCTATAGTATGTAAAATGTAGTATTAGAAACCACATTTTAAAGTTGTATTTTAGGATTGACAGTGTTCGGTGTCAACAGGTGTAGGATGGACTTCTAGCCTGTAGGTGTCACTATAGGACCTGTAACGGTGGTTACGTGTGCCTTTCATTACTGTCAATATCAGTGTTGAAATGTTTCCATCAATCATGAGTGAATGACGACAACACAGAGGAAACACGCTGTGGAAAGACTGCGACACGTTTCATGTTTCATGACTCTGAACAGCTGATCAGTCCTGAGCTGCTGTTTTAGGGCTCACCACAAACCTGCACTTCCTAGTTAATCATAGTATATATCAAGAATTAAATAGAAGAATTGAAACATATCAAACATCACTAGGAAAATAAATGTCATCAATTGGGATGTTTGACAGTCGTATCCATGGCGACAACATGCAGTGATGGTTATTTATTTAGGTTACAAACAAAACACTAACATAGATTTTTATCTCACCTGTTGGATTGATTTTACTTGATCACACTAAAGTATTTACATCGACATGTCATTGTTGGTTGTTGGGTTTTTAGCCTATAGGTATAGGCTTAAATATAGGTCTACCTGTTTTTTAAGTTTAATTTACAGTCTTGTGTCATTGACCAAAATGTAGTAACTTATTTTATTTGATCATGTTTTTTTTTTTTTAAATATTTGCAATGTGGTTCCCTCAACTGATTAAAAGTTTATTTGTCTAAAGCCTTCACTTTCCAACATGAACCTTGTGTCCTTGCCTCTGCTTATGTCCGCCCTTTCATCCAAATAAGGACACCTATAAACCAACATCGTGACTGCCAGAATACCAAATACCAGCCTTCAAAATATTTGTCCACATACCAGCGTGTGATGCCACGGTGGGTAAGTACACTTCACGTCCATGCAAATACAAAGAATTTCTTGAAGCGCTGGCTCTGTCAGGTTAACAAATCGTTAAAGCTTTCTTATGAGCCGCAAATTCTTTAATTTCACTATTTTAACATCATTTTTCAAATTATTATGGAGCCCCTGAAGTTTTAAAACGTGATTTTATATTTTATTTCGCACGTGATTTTATAATATCATCCAGACTTTTTTGACTGGGGTGGCCAAAAATAAACATCAATTATTTACCCTTTCAATAAACACAAAATAACTGGTTTCAACATAAGTCCCACCTTTGACAGGGCTAATAGCCAATCACAGTTTAGGATTTTTTTTTTGTTTGTTTTTTGTTTTTTGGGCACCATGGGGGGGCCAATCAGATATCTAGGGGGCCCATGCCACCCCTTTGGACACGTCCCTGCATGGTATAATTAACTTGTACATTTCTGCACACATTTTATCATCTACTAGTGCGCACAAGATAGCCTATATATTTACTTTTTGAGACTTCGCAGTGGCTCCATAGTATTCATAAATATCTCGTAGCCCATGTTAAATAAAGTTGTTAGAGGTCACATTTTACACTAAAAGCTGAGCATGGAGATTTCTAAATGTGGTTGCAGACAAACAGATTATTCTTGACCAACATTTTTTGTTTTTTATAGCTTATCAAACAAGGTATTCCGTAAATTCGCCTTTAATAAATTATTCAGTGAAAGTACATTCAGACATTCAGGGATTAACCAATTTTTCAAAGATGGTGCCAAACCCGGACCGAGTAAAACAATCCTGATCACTGAAAGGAGCTTACACTTCCGTCACTTAACAAACTTCATTCGTGCCCCTAAACCTGATTGGTCAGCGTGGGGCCGACGCCTTCTGACCGACAGCTAATCATTGTGTGAGGACTGACCGGCCGGTTCCGGTTAATCCACCTCCTTCATGCTCCACGGTCTGTCCGCCCCTCACCTGCCCTGCGGACCGACCCCTCACGAGGAGACTCGGGTCAATTTTGGCGAAAAAAAAACATCCAAAATCTCGTGTCGGGGATTCCGGTCGGTCTCGAAGGCAGCAGCTGTTAGTTGTAAACATCCTGTTTTGAGTTTTTATTTTATTTGTGTTGACCGTCCGCGAGGCGGGGAAAGACGGGAGGATGGATCCACTGGTTGCTGCGATTGATCAGGGCACGAGCTCGACGAGGTTTCTGGTGAGTGACCCAAAACTGTAAGTCTGCATCCTGGCGCCCTCTCGTCTGTGTGCTCTCGCCTGGATGAATGAAGCTGAGCCCCCTGAGCTTCTAATTTTCAACATAAAGCTCCGGAAATATTATTATTATTAATAACAATAATAATAATAATAATAATAATAATAATATATATATATTTTTTATAATTTCAAGATTAAACTCGCTTTTAAAAGGGGAAACAGATCATTTCTTTCAACACTCCCCCTTAAAAAATGTGTTTTATGTTATGAATTCTTCCCTTATTGATTGAAATTGAGTTCTTTTGTTTTGATTCCATTGTTTTCCGAAGTGTGATTGTACACAGGCCTTTTCAGGGTCAAAATCTGCGGAAGCCGAGAGAGCAACTTTTAATTGCTGTTGCGTCAAATCACAAATGAATCATTCCATTATACAGATCCTTAAGTTATCAGTAAGGACTGATATGAATGTTATCTTTGACAGGAAGCCACAATGCTTTTTCCGCCTGTGCTAGACTTTTACACAACAGTGATGATGGATTGATCAACCAAGAGTTCCTCTTTATCTTACGTTTCAGCTCAAGTCAGTTTCTTGAGGTGACAGGAAGTCTTGTCTGCATTCCAGCATGGCCCTCCTGACCCCTGGTAAACAAATGGCCATGAGAATGTTTCTTTTTGTAGTCTCTTGGTGCCAGGCTTGCTTTCTCGACATAAAGAATATTTACCTCGAACATGTTAAAACTTAAAGACGTCAGCTTGGTTGCGACAGCCTTTGGGTTAGAATCTGACTGGTGGCCTGAATTCTTCTTTAAGACTTCAGTAGGTTTGGATTATCGGTCATTACAAATTGTACAATTTTAAAGCATGCAATATTGAAAAAGTGTGAAAGTATCTGGGTATAGTCTAACGTAACGTATCTTCTTCTTTGAGAGTTTAGAGGCAGCTCAACATGTGATTCAGTGATTTGACAATATGTGGAGACTGGAGAGGACACCAACGTGTCTCCAGAGATGATAAACAATCACCTGATCAGTTTGGCTCATTGAAACGTCATTGATCCTGGTTAACACATAATGGCTTGTTTTCACAAAGCTCTGCTTATTCTGAACGCAGATTGCTTCATTAGGTCAGAGATTGGATGACAACCAGATATTTGTCGAGAAAGTTCATGACCTGTTCTTAAAGGGGTCTAACTCATTAATTCTGTGTTGTGAGGTCCGACACACCCCTCTGTTTCGTTCCTTTCATACTGTCGACCAGAAATGAGATTCATGTGATCAAAACGAACCATCCCGTCTCTAGTTGAAACTGTTTTTAGTTTCAAAGTTGTCCTCAGCCCCGTGAAACCCCGACACCACTTTTTCCCAATGTGTTGGTTTGTTGTTGCTGTGGAGCTAATTGAATCCAGTTTAGAGATCCATTGTGATACAATTCGGCTTCGTCAAGTGGGTCAGCTGGAACATCAGACTTGGCGTAGAAGACAACAGTTTGGAGCTCAGTGAAAAAAAAGATCAGACAGAGAGGATTTTTCATGCCTGGTTAGATCTTGTAAACACATTTTGTGAAACCTGCCAGCTTCTCACATTTGATGAACGGGGTCTACGGGGAGTCTTTGTCTGGCCGGTTTCTGGTCCTAAGTTCTACTTTAAAACTTGCTTTTAATTTCAAACCTGCAGGGATTTGGCTCTTACTGGTCCTGCTGCAATAAAGTTAGTAAGTTTGTGTGTTGGACCGAAACTAAATATTTAGAACACAAATCAAACGTTAGCTTCTAAGAAAGTGGTGGCTTTTTATGGAAAAAGTATGGAAGCCCAGAGGTTAATGCATGCACCCCATTGCCATCATTTTCTGTAATATTGTAAGACACAAAACAATACGAGAGCTGTCCTGTTCCATGGCTGCCATTTCCAAACCATTAGCTCTTTAAAACTCGATGAAATCCTGAAATATATCAAAGAAAATGGGACCAAGGTTTTAAAATAAATAAGTGCCCCTTAAACCGAACGAATGAATACCTCAGACCCTTTTTAAGATGTGTGTGCGTGATTGTTGATTGTCAGCAAATCAGAAATCATGTTTATTTTGATCTAAGATAAGTTGAGGAATTACACCAGACCTTTACACCTGTAACAAGAAAGTTTCTTCTTCACTTTAGTTTCTATTTCTCTTGATCCAGAGTTATTGATGGTCCGTGCCATAACATCGTGGTCGAGGTTTTTTTTTGAACGCTGAACTTGAACGCTGTGTACCTTTACTGAGTGCTGGTGTGATGACACTCAGGTCAGACATACATACAGATATACACATGTAGAGTTGTTGTTTCGGAGATTTATCTCAAAGCCCGGATGAGAGAGAGAGAGAACACATCTCTTCACATTAGTCATTAGGATGGTGATTATTTACAACCCTTACAATGATGAAAAAGCCTTTGTGTTCTTTATACTGTGTTGTTTAAGCTGTTTTATTGACTGATTTGTTCATGAAAGATTGACGGCTAATTCAGCCCCTTTACTTTTTATGCAGTGTATAACTCTGTCCTCCTCACTGTAGTTCACAGCCTTTTTGTGCATAAGCGCTTCACAGTGAAATCACACTTTTTGATCCTAAAATCTTTATGACAAACCCTGGACTGCTGTCTGTCACTTTACACTATGATATAGTGTTGTAGTACTCAAAATCAACCTCGGTCTTGAGATCACTTTTTTGAGGTCCCGTCTCGGAATGGAAAGCATTTTTCCTCGGCCTTGTCTCGGTCTCAGACTGGGCGCACTCTGGATTTGAAATCAAGACTGGTCAAGGCCACCGCTGACAGGTTATTTCTCCACATCATTTCTGTGATTGGAAGAAAAGCGCCTCTTTCTAAAAGTACAAATAACTTCAATACATTTGTAGTTTGCATTTAATTCCCCGGTTAACGCCGCAACCTTCCCAGTGTTTCAGTCTGAGAGAGTGACATGCCCACTGCACACAAGATGGTGATTTTATTTTCATTGATATGGTCTTGTCTCGGTCTCGATGCCTCAATGTCTTGGTCTTGTCTCGGTCTCGGAGCACTTTGGTATTGAGTAAGTCTTGGTCATGGTTAGTGTGGTCTTGGCTTCATCACTAATATAATATAAATATAAAATCCCCTGTGTGTCCACTTGCTGACGTGGTTTCTTCATCTCCTTCCATCCTTGCTTGTGTTGTACTTACTCTCTGATGTTCGTCGCTCTGGTTGCTTTAAAAGCATCTGATAAATGAATTGTAGGACCGCTTTACTTTTTGGCCATCTGTGAATTATTAATAAAATATTCATACAGTAAAGCGTAGATGCCATAAAAATCAGTTGTAGCAAAACACTTTGAGTAAATCTGTAAACTGATGTTGCATTTCATGACGAAGACTTTGACTACATCCAACTTTATGGCGCACCAACATAACACTAAAAGTCATTGATGTTTAATTTGAGATCTTTCTTGATGTTCTGATTTCTTTCAAGGATGCGTGACTTGTCCTTTTTTGTCAGAGTTGAAAGGTATTGCATGAGACACTATGGGTGTGTTTGCAGACTTGAGTAATACTTGCACAATCTTGCTGTGTCGGACTCAGATGTCCTGCTTTATCTTTTCCAGTCTTAGATCTTTCCATTTATAATGTGAGAGGATGATCCTGCTCGCTGTCCAACTATGTGACCTGAGCTGAATGTCGCCTCCCCTCGTTTTTAATGTCAGCAGGTTCAGGCTGCAGCGTGTGTGTGTGTGTCTGTGTGTCTGTGTCTGTGTCTGTCTGTGTGTGTGTGTGTGTGTGTGTGTGTGTGTGTGTGTGTGTGTGTGTGTGTGTGTGTGTGTGTGTCTGTGTGTGTGTGTGTGTGTGTGTGTGTGTGTGTGTGTGTGTGTGTGTGTGTGTGTCTCTCTGCATAGACTCTGTGAGACGGTCAGAGGGGGTAAAGATTTCAAAGTTGTGACATGGTTGCTTAAAACTGCTGGTGTTCAACATTCCTCTCAGTTAATGAGTCCCTGTTTTTTTTATGGTGTGGTGAAGCAGCCGTCAGTGTGGTCTGCAGGTAAACTATAAGTCTGTACTGCTTGTTCACAGCCAGGGGAGTAATGCTTCATTATCCTATTATATCTCATTAGAAGAAATGCTGACTCCCTCCTGGCTCTACGGGTTAATATGCTGCTTCCTCCTACATCTTTCCCATCTATAACAGAGGACAGCCATGCCAGCTACGCAATAATAATCCCCTTCTTCTCACTGTTTATATGAGGCAATAAAACTTCTCCAGCTAGGCTGAGCAGAAAACAAGATGTCAGATTTCCCCCGTCAAACTTGTGTTTATTCTGTACAGTCGGCATTTCCCTCACACCTTTGTCCCACTTAATGGCTTATCTCTGTTGTTTTGAATAGATTATTCCTGCTGCGTTTACTTTCCAAAGATTGGAGAAAAATTTACAGTGCATGGTGGGTAAAAAGTATCGGCCGATATATCGATATCAGATTTGTTTTCCTCCCCAGTGTTGATATTTGTATCCCATCGGTCAGGTCCTATTTTGTGCCCTAATTTCCCACCATTAATTGAAGATGACCTTTCAGTTTTAAACATTCCCCTCAACCTTATATTTGGATTAATTGATCAAATCGATTGATTTCCTGGTTCTTTTTTTTTGGACAGTATATTCCCATGTTCTGATGAATCATGTCGTGATTCATTTAGCCTTTTCTCGATCTCCTCTCTTCAACTTCAGTGTCAATCCTAATTATGTCTTTAATGAGCTGAATCTCTCCACAGGTGTTCAACGCAAAAACAGCTGAAGTGATCAGTCAACACCAGGTCGAGATCAACCAGAGCTTCCCAAAGGAGGGGTGAGTGCTTCAGCCTCAGACTGAGGCAACAACTAACCTTTTTCGTCGCGCATTAGCATGCCAATATAAAAATAAAACACAGGGCAGCCTCACAAAGCTTTCACAGTTTGTGTGTCTGTCCGCACACATGCAGGGTTCAGTGAGTTTACGTGCCTGTGTTTGTGCTTCCCCTCAGCTGGGTGGAGGAGGACCCCAAGGAGATCATGCAGTCTGTGTATGAGTGCATGGAAAGGACCTGTGAGAAACTGTGCGAGCGCAACATCGACGTCTCCAACATCAAAGGTGAGAAACTGAAAACCAACCATTGAGTTGCTGCTGACCCCGCCTGACTGGGCGGAGATGATTTGGGTTCACCTCGACATGTAACTGGATGAAGGAGTCAAATTGGACTGTTAACCACACCCGACAGAGAGAGGAGTGGGCGTAGTTTAACGTTTGTGTTGTTGATGTTTTTCCTCAGCGGTGGGCGTGACCAATCAGAGAGAGACGACCCTGGTTTGGGACAAAGAGACCGGAGAGCCGCTTTACAATGCCATCGGTGGGTGCAGCATACATCTGAATGAAGTTTCACTGACAAATATAAGTTTAGACACTTATATATATATATATAGACACGTGTATATCATAGTCTAATTGACAAAAATAAACTTTTTTTTACATTTTTTTACTCTTATCTTAGGTTATATTTTAATATTACGTTTGTATTTATATCAGTATGTTTTTCCTTCTAAATTAATTTAGTTTTTTGCAACAAACAACTTTAATCTGCTTTAATCTGAGTGGAGATGTTCACAGACTACAGCAGGCTGCTGTGAGATGACGTTGCTATTGTTAAGTTAGCTGCAGACACAGTGAGAGTGAACGGAGTAAATTTGAACCGATCGTTCAGCTGTCAGGAAACAAAACTAAACATCCATTGATTAAAAACAGTATTTTTGACCGCCGGTCTGCTGGCCTTAAAGATTACAATATCAGAAAATCATCATACCTTTTTGATATAATGGTCTACCCCTGCATGGATCTTTTGATATGATGATGATGTCAGAAACCTAGAATAACAATCTGCTTCTGTCAGTGGAAATAACAAATGTTTTCAGTGGACCTTCTTTGACAGTTTGCATTTTCCAGCGTGGATTATGTTGCAGCTATCACAGCTGTGGGGCAGCTTCACAAACGTCTTGTGGCCAATAGCAATAAAGCTACCAGGAATATGTTCTTGGCTTTAACGTCATTAAGTGAGGTCATAAGAAGATTGTGTCATATTGGAAACAGTGCATGAGTAGGTCTTGTCCTGTGACACTGCCCTGACTCCCGCCAAGTCATGTGGTAATCTACGTAGGAGCTGAGCAAATGGAGCCACCGCCCACTGAAGTGTGTGCGTGTGTGTGCTAATATTAGCTGCACAGAGTGACTCTCATCCCCCCCCCCCCCCCCCAAAAAAAAACTACAGTAGTATATTGAAGTCGTTTATAATACACGAGGGTTAGGGTTAGGATCTACTATTATTTGATGAAGCTGCTTCACACTCTTTTCTGCTGGCCAACATGTTCTTTTACACTATTCTGTTAACACTGAATACATTTAATGCACGTAGAGCCATTGACTGTCATCATTTCAGACTCTGTCACTTTGTCTGCCACCTTGTCTTTTATTTTAAACTCAGTTCCTGCCTCCTGAGACGCCCCCTTCCCGTCCAACGGAGAAAACTGTGAAAAGGGGGGCAGGCTGTCCTGAAATGTTCTAGATATTTTCAGAATATAGAAAACAGCTTTATTAGATGTTTAAACCTGGAGCTGCAGCCTGCAGGCACAAGTGAATTTGTTTTATGGGATCAGGAGTCCTTTCAAAGGGTAAACAGGAGCGGTGTTGTGGGTGTTGGAAGGAAAGCCTTTAAGGGATTTTTTTTTTTTTTTTAGGAAAGTGTTATGCTGATGTTCAGTTAGTGTTGATGCTTCATGTGGTGAATTGACGCTGTAAATTCTTGGGCTGTGCCTTTAGGGAGCATCGCTGACCTTCTAACGGTGCTGCGGGTGGAATAGCTGCTCTGACCTGTTCACATGCCCAAATTAAAAGCAAGAAATTTGTGACTGGCGAGCACTGTCAAGGCATGCAGTGTGGATCAAGTGTAAGCCAAGAAAGCTGACTTCTGTTCCCATGATGCTTTGCCTGCGACTACGTTTGGGCGGGCTAACTGAATTACATTTTTTAACGGTTCCAGTGTGTACTGTTAAATATCCGAGGAAGGCAAAAAAAAAGGTTAAAAGTGCCCTCAGGCATGCCAACGTCTGCACTTTCATTTTGGAATAATTTCAGGCTAGAATGAAACAAAATCGATTGGAAAAAAAAAAACAGCGACAATGCCTGAGGAGTAACAGATTGCTCCGCTTCGTCAGTATGAATATCTGCTAAATTCCTCAGGCATATCTTCACAATCCAAATATTGAAGTTAGCTTTTTCCCTATAGTTTGGCTGGACCTGCGCACTCAGTCCACGGTCGAGCGGCTCATCAACAAGGCGCCAGAAATCAACAAGAATCACCTCAAGGTGAGAGACATGCACAAGAAAGAAATCCTGCTTCTTCTTACTAGTTTTGAGGGTTTAAGATTCCGGCTGCACTGTTTGCAGACTCCAGAGATACGAAGCAGATGTATAAAAACTGTTCGCCTGGATGATGATTCTTCTTCATTCTGAATGACTTAATGTCCTGCAGTTGTTGGGTGGTCACTTAACCGTGCCGTACTTTGCATTTAGAGTCTGGGGAATCTGTGTTTATGTTAATGTGTGGACATCTTATTTTCATATTTGGATATGTGTCTCAGTTCAACCCATAAGGATTACACTCATTTCTACCAAATATCACTTTGATGTAGATTTCTCTCTGCTTTTCTCTCTCAAGCACAAGACGGGCCTTCCCATCAGCACCTACTTCAGTGCAGTGAAGCTGCGTTGGCTGCTGGACAACGTGGATGAAGTGGCTCAAGCCGTGATGAGCGAGCGGGCCATGTTTGGCACAGTGGACTCCTGGATCATCTGGGTAAGAGCTGCTTAAAGAAAGCAACTGTGAACAGGCCGGAGTCAGGCGGAGCTGTGGCCGAAGGTTAAGACACATATTTGAACACCTGAACATTTCTCACAAACCTCAAGAGGACAGGCCCAGAAATCCTCCACCCAAGCACCTCAAATATCCACAGCGTGTGAGGCAGGACATGATGGAAATAGGAAATGCTGAAGTGGCAGATGAAGCAACAGAGTCTGCTATCTGTGCGGCATGCACCGATAGCAGGGAATAAACGTCACCACCCTCTCCCACTGGCTCGAAGTATATATTAATAATATAATGCTTTCACACTTGTGGTTGAAAAGTCTTTAAGGGCTTCAATAATTTTTAAAATCAAACTTTAGAGAGCATGTTTCTACTCCTTAAACCCGGCCAGGAAAACTGTTTTAGTAGCTGAAAAATGAAAAATCGAATTAATTGTTCATTGCATTTAAGTTATAGGCAGGAGGGGAAAATAAGCTTTGTGCTACTATACCATAGGTTCACTTAATGTAGTACAGGTGTCCTTTTGTTTTCTATATCAGATGCTTACTTTGTCTGGGGCTGTGTTTTTCCCTCAGTGTCTGACGGGGGGCAGGAACGGAGGGGTTCACTGCACAGACGTCTCAAACGCCAGCCGCACCATGCTCTTCAACATTCACACCATGGACTGGGACCCTGAGCTCTGCAGGTAAACAAACAGCATCATGCAGATTTGAAGGCTTTAAAAGGATTTGAATTTATGGGCGTGGCGAATTCAAACAGCCCCTGTTTACTTCAACATCTTATCTGGGTAAGATCACCGTCCCAAATCCAGACCGATTTCTGATTTATAGATTATTTCTTAACAATTTACACCCACTACAACTCTCTTTCCCCTGTGGTGTTGTCTCGTAGCTGGTAATCCTTGCGTGCATCAGTACTGAGTTTTTTTTAAATCTAGTAAATCTGTGTCTTTGTGATGATCGCTGTCGTGCCTCTTGCAGGTACTTTGACGTTCCGATGGAAATCCTCCCCAAAGTCCGCAGCTCCTCTGAAATCTACGGCTACATGGTGAGCTCAGTCTGTTCTGTGTCAGTGATACTGTCAGTGTATAAAGAGTAACCTGAAAGGACCTGACCTGCTGAGTGTATTTTATAACAGATTGAAGCGTTCATATGAGTCTGCGTATCAGAAAGGAATTCCAGTCAATGGTCTCAGTAAATATTGTAATCTCTGTAATGACCATAAAATTAGATAGGACACGAGTGAAATTCATCACAACAGCTGATAGTGAAGTAGAAAATGATTTATTGTCCTTTTTGTTTTTTTTAACCATCTGATTGTCAGGCTTCGTCTGTGTGATGACACACGGTCTCACCACTGGGACAACTGGGAATTTATAAAACTGGAGGGGAAATGATTAACAAGAAGTTCATGTCATTTCTCTCGTGGATTGCTTGAGGTGTCCCCTCGATCAAAGCCCGTCCGAAGTTGTGTGTGACTACAGGAACTGTGAGAGACGAGGGAGGACAGTAGTAATGGCAACTGGTGGCGAGACGCAACCCACACTTGCACAGTGATGTGAAATCACTGTGCAAGTGTGAAGACTGAAATGCTTAAAATAGTAAAAAAAAAAAAAATTGACCTCCAGCTCTAGTTGAAGACCAGATAATCCTTCTCTCTCCAAAACATTAAAACCCAAATTGAAATCGCCGGCTTCATTGTCTACGTGGGCCATGTGAGCTGTGGCGTTCCACCGCCAGGCACCATAATCATAATGAAATCCTGCAGTATGTGATGTGCTTTTTTTCATATCTTGTAGTGTGAGCATGCTGGAGATTATGGAGAAGAATACTAGTTAGGGTTCTTCTTATGTGCATGATGCGATTTTAAAACTCCTGCAGTCTGAGCCGGGCTTCAGTCTCACTGATAAATGATCTGAAATATCTGGAAATAAAACACTGGAAGTAGACACGGAGGCTGTACTGTTAGATTTGCCCACATAACAGCTGATTCAAAATATAGATATAAAACTGTTGATCTGCAGGTTTCACTGTCCCTCCGTGTCGTTGTCCTGCATACTCTGCCCCAGTTCTGTTATCTGCAGTTGTTTATATGCCTGTTTCTTATCTCTCCATCATGACATCTACTTGCTTGTTAAACCTGTTTGATGACATGTGCACTTTGCCCTGCAGTGCAGAGGACAGCGGCATGGCAGCTTTGTTTGTTTTCATCCTGTTTTGCACAAAAAAGTACAGAAAGTAGAATTGAAACGCTTTCATTGTAGACACTTTTTCTGTAGGGATTTATTCTTAATGTTGGTTGTTTTGTTGAAACTTCAGACGAGCACCTACACAACAAACAGTGAATATGACCCTGCAGAACTCTAAACCTCTGTGTGTGTGTGTGTGTGTGTCTGTGTGTGTCTCCTAAACAGAAATCCACCTCACTTGCAGGAGTTCCCATCTCTGGAGTAAGTATGTTTGCATGTTATGTAACTGTTGGTGTGTTTAAAATGTACCATGGTGTGTGTTATATGAGGCTTTACTCCAGACTTTGTCCAGGCCCAGTATGAGCCTATAAAGGAAAACTAAATGCATGTTAGCATAAAAGTATTGAAAATGTCATATATTTTTAATTATCTTCAGACACTTCTTCATTTGATATTCATTTGTTAAATGTTCCTTATGACCATACGACATCATACCATACTATACCATACAGCTCAGTATTTAATATGTTATGTGTATGAACACGTTGTCTAACTGCCATCTTTACTCCATCAGTGTCTTGGCGATCAGTCAGCTGCTCTGGTTGGTCAGATGTGTTTCAAAGAGGGACAGGCCAAAAACACGTGAGCCATCCTTTTCCTTTCTTTTTCTCCTTTGCTACAGTGAGCAAAGCATGCTCAGTAGTGTTTGCACACCGTCGTGCTGCTTAAGCAGTGGAATGATTCAGCTTTAACGTCCTTTATTTTGTTGAAACTAGATTTCAGCTGAGGCCGATTTAACCCAACAATCCAATGGCTGAACCAGGTTTCAAGAGTCCATAGAGATCTACATGTAAAGACTGATTTCAACAGACCCAGTCTTGTATTAAACAAGTCACTGAGGTGTGAGCTGAGGAACTATTTGTAGAAGTGTGTTCAATCAAAAGTCTTCCATCAGTCTTCAATCCATTTATTTGTAGTTTTAGTGATTGATTTGATTATTGTGTCATGCAACAATCTCTCCATCCTGTCGACTTCAGAGCTCCAAAACATTTCTGGATTCTTAGCGTACATTTCTTTAATCAAAGGCGTTCTTAACTCACAATTTAAAGAGCTCCTACTTACCGCTCCTATGTCACACAGTTCACACAGTCTGTGTTCCTCCCAGATGTTTTTCAATCTGCCGATTTATAGAGTGAGAGGAAGGCTTCCTGTTTCTCACCTGACCAACAAAGATCTCTGACTGATAGTAAAGTTTGCTTTGACATACAATTCAGAAAGTCCATGATGTGAGGATTCCAATAATCCAATATATCATCACAAAAAGCAAACAAACACCTGGCTCCAATCACCTGTAGCGCTTGGCTTTACACCCACTATAATCCAAGGCTCCCCCTGGTGTTCACTGTGTGAATTACATACTGAGCCCATCGTGGGGGGGCTGCCTGTTGTTTGTCAGCTGTTTCGAGGCTCTTTGATGAAAAGTGCTTGAAAAAAAGCCTGAATTAAGTCATTCCCTACACATTAGAGTGTCTCCGATGTTAACTTGGAATCGTTGGTGCTGAAGGGTATGAAATCCTTTTTTTGTGCACGTTGAAACAGAGTCAGAAAGTCAAGAAAGAAGTTTGAATATCTATTCTCCAGATTATTTATTTATTTTTTATCAAGCTGGCACTGGTTCTGAAATTTATTTTAAACATTTTTAAGACCTGAATTCTCATATATACTCTTAATTTCTAATCATGAGCGATTAAAGAGAACTGATCGCTCTGTCATTGTTAAATAATACCACTTTTATAATGGGTGATGCTTTCTGACTGTTGAATAACGTCATTAATATTTGAGCCATGTGTCTGTGTTCTGCTCTCTAAAGGTATGGGACCGGTTGCTTTCTGCTCAGACATACAGGGACCAAGGTATAAAAACATATAAACGCTGGAGGGTCATTTTAAATCCCACTGATGTCTTCAGATCTGATGTCCTCCTCAAGCTCATAATGCTTTGTCTTCTGTCTCTGTCAGCCGGTGATGTCCGATCACGGCCTGCTCACCACAGTCGCCTACAAAATGGGAAAAGACGAGCCTGCGTGCTACGCTCTCGAGGTGTGAGAAAGCTTTTGTTTAGTCCTTCTGATCCACATTGAAATAATATCCTCCACTCTCTGTAAGGTTTTTTTTTTTTTTTTTACCTGCCTTGGTGCTCCGCTGTGATTCAGCTCTGATGTTCTCCTCTCGTCCTCTCAGGGCTCAGTTGCCATCGCGGGGGCGGTGGTTCGGTGGCTGAAGGACAACATGGGGATTGTGAAGTCCTCCTCTGAGATCGGTACGCACTCTGTGACATCTTTTTGATTCATAAAGAAAATGCTGTCTCGACCTCCTATAGCAAGCTGTAGGGAATATTTGCATTCAACTCATCTAAAATATAAAGTATGATACATTGTCTCTACTGGGATAACTTCAGTAAATTACAATATTTGGGATTCAAATGTGATGAAAACAAACGCTGCAGCCACAATCTTGCCTCAGGAGATTTGTTATTTGTTAGATTTTTGATTAGGCTGTACACAATGACCCAAAACTACCAAATGGAAAACATCTACTGCAGAGTTCTGTGTTTAAGTTGCTTTTTGATATAAAATAGACTCATTATATAACATCACTTTTCCCTCACTGGTTTATTTCAGAGACGCTAGCAGCTGCAGCAGGCTCATCTTATGGCTGTTACTTTGTGCCGGCCTTCTCCGGGCTCTATGCCCCCTACTGGGAGCCAAGTGCAAGAGGGTGAGACCGTCAGCTGTTCAAACACATCTCATGTATCAACTGTAGTTTGACCCTGAAACAAGCTTGTAGCAACAATGAGATATTTGTTTGTTGCTCGTTATATTCACCTTGTGGCCTCATTTGCGGTGTTCTGTTTTTAATCATCTGTTTCCTCTGTTTGTTACGCAGCATCATCTGCGGCCTCACTCAGTTCACAAACAGGAACCACTTGGCGTTTGCGGCGCTGGAGGCCGTCTGCTTTCAGACCAGAGAGGTGAGCAGTTTCCCCCCTGTGTCTTCACACTGCAGGGTTTCTTCTTCTTTCCTTCTTTGGGGCTGATTGAATGACGCACGTCGCAACAACAGCACCTGTCCAGTGTCGCCGTTATGGCCCCCGCCACTCTGATATCTCCCCCATTAGTTCTGGTCCATAAGATTGTGTGTCTGTGTTCCTGACCCATGTGTGTGTAGCATGTCCAATACCAGCGTGTTAATAAAGTACGCCTGTGTGTATCAGATCCTGGATGCGATGAACCAGGACAGCGGCGTGCCTCTGACGCAGCTGAAGGTGGACGGAGGCATGACGGCCAACAGGTTACTGATGCAGCTGCAGGCAGACATCCTCTGCATCCCCGTAGGTAAGAGGAACTCTCCTAACACTCACACACGTATCATGTTATCAAACATGTCCACAAGTAGACTCAATTATAGTACATGCATTTATCATTATCTTATATACGTATACCACTATTCATGCAAATGTGCCGAATAAAAAAAGATGTAACTCTGACACCTAGTGTTTAAAAGGGTACTGCAGTCCAAATTCAAAACATTGAATCGAAGAGAGTTGATGCTCATGCAGGTTACTATGTCATGGACACTGAAGCTTCAGTGTTTATCCAGCTCTGCATCGGGTCTGTAAACCTTTCTGTGTTCTAACCTCTCTCCATTTTTCAAAAGCATCTCCAACATTGATCCTAGTTTGAGCACGTTTCTGCTCGTGGAGCTTATTAGAAACATGCAGAGGCTTTTTAGGTCGGGTACAATCACTTCTATCTGAACCAGTTCTCTTGACCCGCTTCCATCGCTGCAACACCTGTTGGTTTGCCGTTTGCTTGGCAAACCACGGAGCATCCAAAACAGCTGCGTGGGGGCCTTAAAAGCGCCTACCTTCTCTGGTCCAAACAAATCCAGATCATTCAGGAGCAGAATCTAAAGTTAGAAGGAGGACATACTGGCTGCTGCATTGTTGTCAGAGAAGCCATTGTATTATTTCATTCAGTAGATATCTTACAGATTGATCCATTCTTCTTCTTCTATCTGCTTCTATCACTGTAACAAGAGATCAACACTACATGTGCTGGTGGAACACAAAGCCCCACTAAACATTAACTGAATGATTCTGTCACCAGTGACACGAGTCCAAACCTGGACTTCAAACCCCCACTACTCCTGACTTTTGTCCCATTTAGATAAAACAAACGTGACCCTTGACCTGAGTCTGGACGGAGCACAGACTTAATGATGCTTACACTAGAGTGTAGTGTACGCATGAACTGAGTTTGCTGCAGGAGGATTTGGGTTTAGGGAGCAGGTCTCTATAAATCATGTTGAAAGCAGATTGCAGGTGTTGGAGGAGGATGCATCAGGTTGTAGATGTTTGACTGATGACTTTCTGCTCTGTGGACATGGATATTTGGACCAGTATTTCGATTTTTTTTGATGGGACGCATGTCTACAACCTAAAATGTTAAAATCATGCCTTGAGCAGAACCCTCTTGTGAAGGACATTCCTAATCTCAATGAGGTTACTCCTTGTTAAATATACTTTTGATACAATTAAATTCTGCGTCAAAATCTTAAGACAAAACTTTTGATTTAACCATGAGACCGATGTACCTCTCACCTCTCTTTAGTGCTGAGAATGAGGGGATGAAAACATGAATGAAATCACAGACACAAGCGCTCTCAGGGGTAAACACAGGGGAGACCCAGAGTTCACTGGAGGGATTATTTATCTCATCAGGATTGGAAACACCCCAGGATCTCCTAGCAAACGATGCTGTGCAGTAACGTGCTCAGCCCGATGCAGATACGGTCCAACAACTTGATGTAAATTTCCCCATTGTGGGATAAATAAAGGATTATCTTATCTTATCTTATCTTAATTATGATTCCACATATAAATTAGTGTTCAGTTGATTAGAGGGGTTGTTTGTTGCTTTTCTAAAACGCTTAGTTTTTTCCTCCTGTGTGCATCTGTCTGATGTCGATCCAGTCCGACCCACCATGTCAGAGACCACAGCTCTGGGTGCAGCCATGGCAGCAGGGGCAGCAGAGGGGGTGGAGGTGTGGAACCTGAGCCCCGATCACCTCCCACACGTCACAAGTGAGAAGTATGAACCTCAGATCAACCTTGAAGGTAAGAGGAAGGGAGAGATCCAGAGGAAACATGATGCACTTCACAGCCACATGAACTAGTTGTGACTCTGTCTTCCTGTCCTTCTTCACACACAGAGAGCGAGTTCCGCTTCGCTCGCTGGAAGAAAGCCGTGCAGAAAGCCATGAACTGGGAGACCACAGAGCCGTGCTGCAATGCCAACGGTACACATTCCTCTCTTTATCGAACTCTTTAAGTGAAGCTAGAAGTTTTCGGAGCTGTTGTTTGGTAGCAGATTGTTTTCTGAAGCTCGAGGTCTGAACCAGTGCAGGAGTCTGACTCTGATCCATGTTGGATGCTTTCTTCTTCTTCTTCACTGACGACAGGTTTAGGAAAGAAGATGAACAGCACCCCCTGGGGGGTCCCTCCCACTCCTCCTCCCACCAGAGCAGACCCCTAAGGTCTGACGTTTGCTGCTGCATTGCCAAGAGCTTTCTGTGTTTCTGACACTAACTGTGTTCATGTTGTTGTGACGGGGTTGACTGTCACATTTCTGAGTGTTACTAACACAGAGAGGAGAAGGTTTGGACCGACACAGATTGAACTATTCTTACACAGATGTTTGAAAAGCCTCTGAAAGTGTCATCTTTGCTGTCATATCAAATCAGTTGTTCACATCACATGAGTTAACTGTGTCGGTCCACACACACACTGTTTGCATGTTTCCTCCTTTGTTCCTGCTTACAAAAACAGGCTCTTTCTCTGTCATCGACTCAGCTGCTCATGTCACACAATTCTTTTCAGTGAGTTTGCATTCAGCTCACTGAAGTCTGTCTGTTAAATACCCTGATGTCGGGCAGGTCGGGCATCATTTTCTGCTAAATCAGCGCTTGTTTTGACGTCGCTAACAGTTCCAGTTTCGCACAAAGCTTTATTTTTAAACTGCATGTTAAAGTTTAACTGCACGGGTTTCAACTCTCAGCGAGGACAGAGCTACAGCTTCTGGGGTTTTGCTGACTCTTTGTTGAAAACTTTTATCTCTGGACTTGAATGCATCCAGAATTAAAGAAACAAAAAAAACAGTTTGGCTATAAATACATCTGTATTGTGTTTCCTCTGAAAATCTTTTTTCCTCCTCACAGATCACAATCAGTAACCGAGCTACAAGACCTTCACGGGAACACGGACGATTGTTATGGAGCAACACTAAAAGAGGGAACATGCTCAGTGTGTAGAGGACGTGAGGCGGCTGCATCAGGAGATTATGAAGTCACTTGGAGTGATATGTAGCCTGCTAGCAGTAGCATCGCACTGCTTCACATAAGTGAAGTCGTCAAACTTTAAAGTGCCAGCTGAATGAAGAGATTTTTTTGAAACAACTGTGAAAACTTTCTTTGGTACATTTTTGTCTTCCTTCTCAAAAAGGGGAACTTTAGGAGCACAATATGAATTTGCCTTCTTGTACAGTAATGTGTAGAAGAAAAAAAAATCAGGTGCCAGAAGGAAAGAGTTGCACATTTGTACATCATCACTGTCACACTGTTTTTTGTTTTTTTGTCCATTTCTACACTGCAGTGTTGGTTTCTACTATTCGAGATCCCAAAGTGGACTTCTTGAAATTGGTTACCACTCAGCGTACGTCTTTTTAAAAAAAAGTTTGTGTTTGTCTCTGGATGAAATGAAGAAGAATGAGACCGACACATTTGGGTCAAAATAATCAACCACTGGATCTTTTTAATGAGCTTCAAGTCTTCTCGGATTAAGAAGACTGAAGGAGAACTGTTTGACACGAGCGGACACTATGCAGGCTCTCAACATCATTTATCCTGTGTCAGAGAAGATGGATGTGAGAGTCTTGCATGTTTTTTTTTTGTTTTAAAGGGAGGAGTGTTTTTATCTAGACTGTTTTCAAGAAAGGGATTTATATGTTTTTAAATGATGCCAGACGTCCACATATGCAAGCAGTTAAAGGGGGACACTGAACTTTTAAATCGGCCTCTGTTTTTGCACATTTTAGAAGCTAAGTGACGAGTAGGTGGGTTCACAAGTTGTCTGAGCCGGCAGCCTTTAAACCGTCTGTGTATGTTCTCAGTCATCCAGGTCATGTTAGAATTAATGCTTGATCCAAAGGAAAATGGACTGGTTGAAGATCTTGATGTTTCACCTCTCTTCACCAGAAAGGCTTCTTCGGTTTAGAGGGGAGGTGAAACATCTGCAACCAGTCCAGTTCCCTCTGGATCAAGCTTTGACTAAAGCATGAAACTGTAGTGACAGCAATGTTAATCCTGTGGAGAAAAGCTGCACAGTGTGTCCACTAAAAGTGTTGTTCTGATTGTTATTCTACATGTGACCATTTTATTAAAGTAACTCTCTGCAGAGACAGAGCTGCAGGTGGAGGAGAGGTTATTATTTTAACAAGCAGCCTTTGTATTTCTTCTTTTGAATGAGTCGCTCTACATTGCTGAACACAGGAGTTGCTGCTTTACCACTTAACCGGCATCAGTTAAATTATTTAAAGTCCTGTCCCCTTAACTATATTTGTGAAACACATTCCAACACATACTAACTTAACATATCAAGGTAACGGTTAGACGCGCAACTCCCATGTTGTGCAAGGTTGAGTGACTGTTTCATCTAGTGTAGTACCTGAAATCGGTCTCGTCTCGGAATCGAAAACATTTTTACTCTATCTTGTCTCAGACTCCAGATTTTAAATCAAGACCACCACTGATGGGCTATTTTTCAACGTCATCACTGTGATTAGAAGGAAAACGCCTCTTTTTAAAAGATCAAATAACTTCAATACATTTGTACTTAGATTTTTATCCCCCACTTAGTCTAAGTGAGTGACACGCCCCTGCACACAAAAAGAGGCTCTTTCAGTGATATTTATGGTCTTTGGTCTGGCCTGTCTTGATCCCTAAATGTCTTGGTCTTGTCTCAGAGCACTCTGGTCTCGGGTATGTCTTGGTCTTGGTTGGCGCGGTCTTGACTACAACACTACTTTCATCTCAAACAATGCATCATAACCTTTGACAGAAAGTATTTCTCCATCCTCGCTCTAATGTTGTCACAGATTAAATAACAATCTGAGCCCGTTAGCAGTGAAAACAAACTGAGTGTCTGTAAGCTGAGAGAATAGCATTCAGCCATCATGGCATGTTGCTGCAGCAGCCAGCTGAAGCCATTTTGAAACCTTTTAAAGCTAACAGTAGTTTCGCCACCAGGGGGGGGCTAGAAGAAGAAAAAAAGTGTCCCTGGTTTAAATGTAAAATGACATGAAGTCAAGGATCAATCTGAGCCACTAGTGATCATCTTTAAAGATCACCTTGATTCAAAATGACATGACTTTACATTTTTGGGGGAATTTTCACACGTTTATTCAGATTTCCCAGCATTCAAAGGGAACATCTGGTGACTGTATAATCATGTTCTGGTGAATGATTTTAAAATACAATTTGTATATAATTATTTCAGATCGTGTTTGTGTGTCAGTATTTTCATTTTTTCTGTTTTAGATTTTTGACAAGCGTTTTGGAGCTCTGCAGGAATGTACAGACAGCAGATGCCATGAAATCTGACTTGCGTAATAAAGACGAGGGAATAAGTTCCTCTCGGGGTGTTCGTCATGTGACTTCTGAATAAAAATTTAAAAAAACAACTCCATGCATTGAAAGTCATGAGAGATTTAATACAACAACCAGGAGAAGAAAAGATAGAAAATTAAGCCTTTTTCTTAAAGCCTCTTCTACCTCTACATTGTTTACATTTACAGAATACATGGACACATCTGATAGGATAAAGCAGGGCCCTAACGATGTCTCTGCACCCTGTTGGAAGCAGGAAGTTCATGTAATAAAAGAGCCGCTCTTTAAATACACAGAAAGAGGAATCAGTCCTTGTGTCAAGAGGCTTCAGCGGCTGAACTGCCTCTTGTCACCTTTTCCTTTGTTGACGTGTTTAAAGACTTTGGATTTGTGGAAGTTGGACTTCTGGTATCCGAACCCGCCTCCACCTCCTCGCTTCTGCAGCTTTGATCCTTTACTGCTGTGGACGTCTGGAGGGAAGAGTTCAGTTAAGGGAAAAACAGAACCTTAAGAAAAGTCACATATTATACAAAATACACTAAAATGTGTCTCAAGTCTGTCTACAAACCCTCCCAATCATGAGAAAAGTCCGTCTTTAGCCTGCCCCAGTTTTAAGAAAATGTGTGCTCAAACAGGCCGTTTGGAGATTTTCTCTCTCTCTCTCGTCACCTTCATAGTGTGCTGACCTGCGACATGTTTTAAGGCGTACAGACTGAGGGACATCGAGCACCTACTTGTTCATCTGTCCTAAATGCCTAGCTTAACATGCTGTATCCCACAGTTCCAGTGTTGCCAAAACCCACCCTACTCTGTTTCTGATTGGCTAGCAACGTTGATTCGGTTGAGAATGAGAGCTGCGTTATTCACAGAACATTGGTAGGTGAACTCCATTGACTCGATCCTCATTGAGCGCATCCGTAACAAATTCCCACGTGTAATTATTTTTATTATTCGTTTTTTCCCCTCACGCTGGAGATCCGCCACGGTGCGGCGTGACATCACAAAGGGCAGTAACCCCTTGAACTGAGAGCCAAATCATCATAATGGAATTGATTTTCAGGCTGCAAGAAAGAAACAAGAAAGTACTCAAAGATGACTGATTTGACTTGAGACTAACAAAAAGTAGCGCTCGTGGGGAAACTCGTTAGTCTGGCGCCTCCAGTGTACAGACGATAGAGTCATCAAAGCAGCTGTTCTTTTTTGAATGAATCAGGCCTCAGCCCAGTGCTCCATGTATTCCCTACTCTCTCTTCAGCTGTGCTTTCTACAAATAAAGTCAAAATTGGCCCCCAAAAAATAGCATCTGTGTATTTGACATTTAAACCCATCATCGTTTTTCTACGATCATTGTAAAGGATACTCAGATCAACATATGGAGGAACTTTGAAGCCAAAAGACTGCGCCACCATGGGGAGGTTGAGGGTGTTGACGCTGTAGATCTGTTTGAGCGAGTGGGAGTCGTAAGCCCTCACGTACGACTTGTAGGCCTCCTGTGCCGACTTGTGGAGGTAGTAGTTCTTCTCAATCAGCTTCTCCATCTGACGAGCAAAAGAACGGGGCCGAGGTGAGACTCAAGAGATCGTTCCAAACATTTACAGATACGACGAAGCTGCTTCAATGTCTTCACATCGATCTAAGGTTTCATACCTGAGCCTGGATGTCAGAGATTTTACTCCAGGAAAAATCAAACTCACTCAGCGGGACCTGGGGGGGAAAACACGAGAAGTTGAGAATCAAAATGACATGTATAGCATACATGTTCTATAAACGACAGGACAAAGCAAACTCAGTGAAAGGTTGTGGATCTAAACTCAAACACTTTCAGACGGTCACCTTGGCCTGTTTGAGGAAGCGGAGGAAGCCGAGCTCCTCTGGTCGCAGGATGAGGAGTGCGTGTCCTCTGCCGTTGATGCCTCTGGCTGTCCTGCCCACCCTGTGGATGTACTCCTGTGGACGCAAAGAGCAGCTTAAAGTGAGATTCATACTCTGTGCCTTAGTTCCAAAACTAAAAATAAGACCTTTAAAGTCGTCAAGTGGCTCCAAGACTGAAAGTTTTAAAATCTGAGTCACTGAGGAATCCGTCTCGTTTAAAGACTTGAGAGATAAACGATGCATTTTTTATCATGAATTATTCAGCCGTTGTTCCATGTTGATACCTTGGGGTCATCAGGGGGGTCGTACTGGACGATCCAGTCCACCTCGGGGATGTCGAGCCCTCGAGCGGCCACGTCGGTACACAGCAGGATCCCTGAGTCAGCGTTACAGAACTGGAAGAAGGTGGTGGTACGTTTGGTCTGCTTCTGCTTACCCTGTGAAGCACAATGAGAAAATCTTCAACATTACAGCAGCTTTACTTAAAGAAACTTTCATAAAGTTGTGTTACATGACAGTTACACAAGCAAAGTAACAGATCAAGTCAAAGTCAACTTTATTGTCAATTTCAAAATATGCCAGACACACAGTGGAATCAGTGTCTCCGTCCCGCGGTGCAATACAAACAAAATAAGGTAAAATAAGATCAGGTAAAATAGATAAATAAAATGAGGTAAAAATAAGATAAATAATATTTACAGTAATAAATTCTAAATAAATTCTGATTGAGGTAAACAAGCTACTCCTATGTTGTGGGAGG